TCAGCACAGGCTTTCCTACCTTCTTCAGCCCTGGTTTAGTAACTTAAGCTTTGGAACCACCTCATTGTCCAGCTCAGTCACTAACCCAGCTCAGATTCAGGAAGGATGGGGTGGGTATAATTCTCCTGTAATCCGTTTATGTGCAGCCGACTTCTCCCAAACTCGAGAGCCTGTCTTGGTAACTTTGTGTTGATGAAGTACTGCAAAGGAAATCCTTCAAGGCCAATTGGTGTTAAATCCTGGCTCCTGATTCCCTAAGAAGACAGCAGCCGCAGGAGCATGTCAAACTCGCCGTTGATTCCAGGCACTGTTCCCGGGCCTGACAACTTAAGAGGGATTGTGGTAAAGTGTCCCGGGGACAGTGGGGAGAGAGTAGGTGAAAGGGATTTAAAAGATCAGTCCCACAGCCCCACCACTGGTTTTCAGCTGGGCACAGGAACGAGGGGTTGGTTATTTATTGAATTAAAAATGTTAAAGACATCTCTTCCCTAAATTTTTTATTTAGCATGCGTCTGTGTGCGCACTCTCGGATGTGGTGTGGAGGTTAAAGGACAGCTTCTAGGAGTTGGTCCTAGCTTCCTTCTTGCTGATGCAGGGTCTTTCTCACTCTGCTGCTGCGCTGTCTAGTCTAGCTGGCCACTGGGCTTTTAGGAGAGCCTCCCGTCTCTGCCTCCCACCTCCAGGTAAGAGTGTGGGAGTTGCAGATATGCACTACCCGGCTGTGCATAGGGGCTTGTGGTGTGGAAGTCAGAGGACAGTCTGAGGGGTGGGTTCTCTCCTCCTACCATATGAGGGTCCTGGGGATTAAATTCAGATCATCAGGCAAGTGTCTTTACCTGGTAAGTCATCTTGTAGATCCCACATCTGATATTTTTGAGACAAGATCTAGCTAACAGGCTGGCCTGGAACACATAGAGATCAGCCTGCCTCTGCCTCCCAAGTACTAGGACTAAAGGCGTCCGCCATCAGGCCCCATCCATATCTGGTTTGTTTGTTTGTTTGTTTAATGGAAGGATTGAAATTGGGTTGTCAGGATTGCATGACTAGCTCCTTTTTGACTTTTTGAGACAGGGTCTCATGTAGTACAGGCTAGTCTTGAACTCAGTATGTAGTCAAGGATGACCTAAGACTCCTGATCCTCTTGCCTCCACCTCCCAAGTGCTGGGATTTCAGGTGTGTGTCATCATGCTTGACTGTGGTGGTATTGTGTTCCCCAAAATATTGTGCACGCTAATAAACTTACATGGGGTCAGAGAAGAGAACAGCCACAAGATTAAACATAGAGGATAGGCAGTGGTAGCACACACCTTTAATCCTAACATTCCAGAGGCAGAAATCCCTCTGGATCTCTGTGAGTTCAGGGCCACATTGGAAACAGCCAGGCATGGTGATTCATGCCTTTAATCCCAGAAAGCGAGCCTTTAATCCCAGGGAGTGATGGCAGAAAGCAGAAAGGTATATAAGGTGTGAGGACCAGAAACTAGAAGCATTTGGCTGGTTAAGCTTTTAGGCTTCTAGCAGCAGTTCAGCTGAGATCCATTCGGATATGAAGACTCAGAGGCTTCCAGTCTGAGGAAACAGGATCAGCTGAGGAACTGGCGAGGTGAGGAAGCTGTGGCCTGTTCTGTCTCTCTGATCTTCCAGCATTCACCCCAATAACTGGCCTCAGGCTTGATTTTATTAATAAGACCTCTAAGAGTCATGCTACACTTGACTGACTGCACAAGGCATGTGTTAATTCTCAGGCTTTGGTGTGGCTCAGCTGTCACATAAGAATATCAGTAGCCTTTCCACTTAACGGCAAAGCAGGGCAGTGGGGTCAGAGCAGGGCAGTGGGATCAGAGCAGGGCAGTGGGGTCAAGGGGGGCAGTGGGGTCAGAGCAGGGCAGTGGGGTCAAAGCAGGAGAGTGGGGTCAGAGCAGGGCAGTGGGGTCAGAGCAGGGCAGTGGGGTCAGAGCAGGGCAGTGGGGTCAGAGCAGGGCAGTGGGGTCAGAGCAGGGCAGTGGGGTCAGAGCAGGGCAGTGGGATCAGAGCAGGGCAGTGGGGTCAGAGCAGGGCAGTGGGGTCAAGCGGGGCAGTGGGGTCAGAGCGGGGCAGTGGGGTCAGAGCAGGGCAGTGGGGTCAGAGCAGGGCAGTGGGGTCAAGCGGGGCAGTGGGGTCAGAGCAGGGCAGTGGGGTCAAGCGGGGCAGTGGGGTCCGAGCGGGGCAGTGGGGTCAGAGCGGGGCAGTGGGGTCAGAGCAGGGCAGTGGGGTCAAGCGGGGCAGTGGGGTCAAGCGGAGCAGTGGGGTCAGAGCACCACTGGATTAGGACTGAGTTGGAAGCTTGTTTTCCATTATTGAGCTGGTGAAGCGGTGTTTACAGTGTGTCGTCATCCCGACAGATGCTACTGATCCCCTAAGGATGTCCTAGAAGATCTTTTCTCAAATGCTAAAGCATTTAGATACCTTCTTGAGCCAGAGGAGAGGAAGAACTGGGGGAGCACTCCAGGGAGGGCCAGCTGCCCCTTCTGATGCTTTGGGACACTCCCCTCAGTCTGTGACATTCTAACCTCATAACTCCAGAGGACACTTGCTTGGCACTGAGTGTGACAGGCAGTTTTTGGCACTCTAAAGACATCATCTTCATGTGATGTGATGTGAACATCATGTGAGATAAGTGATGTCATCATCCTGATGTTACAGAGGGGAAATTGAGTCACAGGAAGTCAGGGACTTTGTCCAGTGACTCGGAACACTGGAGCCTGTGCACAAAGCCACAGTGCTGACCACTGGGCACATAGCACTGCACTTGCAAACACCATGCCCTCAGGACCCTTCAGAGTTCCATGCACAGGATGTAGAAATCAGCATGAGCCGCCTCTCCTGGCCACAGGCTGTTCTCAGCCTCACCTCTTCCGCCAGGAAAGATGTAATGTTGACATCAGAACAGACAGACTTTCATAGTGGTGAAGGTGCCACAGTTTGAAGGTTTTCCAAAGAGCTCACCTTGCAATTTATTTTATTTTTTAACTAATTTTTTTTTTGTTTTGCTTTTTTGAGACAAGGTTTCCCTGTGTAACAGCCCTGGCTGTCCTGGAACTCACTCTGTAGACCAGGCTGGCCTGGAACTCATAGAGATCTGCCTGCCTCTGCCTCCCGAGTGCTGGGATTAAAGGCTTGAGCTACCACGCCTGGCAATTAAAAATTTTTAAATTACATTTGTGTGTGTGTGCGTGTGTGTGTGCATGTGCGTACACTTGTATGAGTTCAGAGGACAACTTGAGGAGCTGAATCCCGGTGATCAAACTCAGGCCACAGCGTGGCAATAGGCACCTCTACCCACTGAGCATTCTTGCTGGTCCTATTTATTTTATTTTATTTTTAAAAGATTTTTATTTATTTGTATTTTATGCATGTTAATGTTTGACCTGCATGGGTATGTATGTGCACCACTTGTGTGTAGTACCTGCAGAGTTCAGAGAGGGTGTTGGATCCCCTGAAACTGAAACAGCTGTGAGCTGCCATGTGGGTACTGGAAACTGAACCTCCGAAAGAACCATGTGCTTAACCACTGAGCCATCTCACTAGCTCCTTAGTTTGTATTTTTGAGACAGGGTCTCCTGGCCTTGTCTGGCCCCAAATTCCCTATGGGACCAGGGATGACTTTGAACTTGTAATATTTTTGTTTCTGCTCCTGAGTGCTGGGATTGCAGGCACACAGTATAAACCGGTGCCTGGTTTACACAGTGCTGAGGATTGACCCCAAGGCTTCACACATGTTAGGGGAGCACTCTACTCACTAACCCAGCCCAGCTACCACACTGTAACTTAATCACCACTCTAGCAGTAGTAAGAAGTGGGACCTCAGGCCAGGCACAGTGGCACACACTTGTAATCCACAGTGCTGGGGAGACCGAGGCAGGAGGAGTGCTGTGAGTTTGAGGCTAACATGGGCTACAGTGCCAGGCACTGTTTTAGGGAAGAAATAAAACCAAAACCCAAATCAAAGCAAAATGAGAAAACCTGAGGTGGGACAGTGGAGGTTTGAAAGAAAAGGGCCCCCAAAGGGGAGTGGCACTTTAGGAGGTGTGGCCTTGTTGGAGGAAGTGTGTCACTGTGGGGGCAGGCTTTGAGGTCTCTTTTGCTCAAGCTTCCCTCAGTGTGACATTCAGGTGACTTCCTGTTGCCTGCAAGAGGTAGCACTCTCAGCTCCATCACCACCTCTGCCTTCACACACGTGCTCCCCTCTGAGCTGTAAGGGAGCCACCCCAATGAAATGTTTCCTTTATAAGAGTTGCCGTGGTCATGGTGTCTCTTCACAGCAACAGAAACCTATAGTGATACAGGGGCTGCTAGGAGGAGATTTGGTTCTGGGCCCTTCTGGTAGGATCCATGCACTCTGTCAAGAGTGTGTTTGTTATCATGGCATGGGTCTGGCTTACTCCAGTCTCTGCCCATCTCTATCCCATACATTTTCTTTGCCCTTCTGCCATGTTAGGAAGCAGCATACAGGCCCTCACTTGATGCTGGTACCATACCCCTGCACATCACAGACTCCAGAACTGTAGGCCAAATAAACCTCCATTGCTTATAAGTCACTCAGACTCAGTTATTCTGTTATAGTTGCAAAGAACAAAGTAGGACACTGGGTCCATTCAGGATTTGTATCGACTGAAATTGGGGACTTGAAACAGAGACCCTGAAGTCATCCAAGATTGTCTTTATGGCTGAGAAACAAGACTCAACTCCCAACAGGGTGTGGTAGCACACACTTATGATCTTAGCACTCAGGAAGTGGAGGCAGGAAGATATTAAGCCCAATCTGGACTACACATCAGGATCTGATGCACAGCTGGACATGCACCTTTAATCCCAGCACTTGGGAGGCAGAGGCAGGCAGATCTCTGTGAGTTCTAGGGCTACACATTGAGACCCTATTTTAACAAACAAACAAACAAACAAACAAACAAACAAACAGACAAATGATCTGATACGTATACACAAAAGACAAAAGACTCAGCTGTGATTGACTGCTCTATGTATTCTGCTGATATCTGGTCAACCCCACTCTCCAACCCTGCCTTCCCTGGCCCTGCTCTCTTGAGACTTTTAAACACCTAGATGTGGTGATGAGGTTATAGCTGCTCACTTTCTGCAGATGTCCCCTCAGCATGTGACCCCTGACTCCAGGATCTAAGAAGAAATGCTAAGGGGCCTGCCAATCCTCTGGACCTCAGGCACGGACACGCTGTCTTGATAGTTGCTCTCTGGTGACGGTGTGGGTGGATGTGGCTCTCCATTGTCTGGGTGGTATTCTGCCAGGATGTAGAGAAAGCCACCCAGGGCTGCGACTGCGGTGGCTGTGTTGTGGCAAGAACAGCCATCTGTAGGGGGGAGAGAGGTCCTGGGAGCAAACTTGGCCTTTTGTTCAGTACACTCCATTATAAATGCTTTATGGGTTTCCCCCAGCTGCTCTGCCAGGCACTGGATAGGCATATTGCTGTCCTGCTCAGAACTAAGAAGAGCATCATAGATGCTGACCCTTCCCTTGCCCCTACAAGTAAGGCTCAGGCCTTTTCCCACTGAGCTAACTGTCAGAAGGGAGGAAACAGAGGTGGGAAAGCTGAGTGGTAGAGCACTCACTGGCATGCCCAAGACCCTTGGTCTTATCCCCTTGTACTGGGGAAAACAACCACCACCAAACAGGCGGAAGCCTTGAGTGCTTGGGTGATGGGTCAGCGAGCCCTGAGCGTCTGTCACCTGTGAACAGTCTTTCCCGTCTTCGCACTCTTCTCAGAACGCCCTGCCGATGCGGAGTGCCTTCCGGAAGTTCCCCCTTTGCATCTGGAGAAGAGCCAAAGGCCAAGTTCTCAGGATAGACTTTAGCTCTCACTCAATAAACCTCTTCCCCTCCTGACCCCCTTAGGGACTTAGAGCAGGGGCTATCAACCTGTGGGCCACGACCCCTTTGGTAGCTTTGTATCAGACATCCTACATATGGGATATTTACATTACGGTTTGTAACAGTGGCAAAATTACAGTTATGAAGTAGCAATGAAATGATTTCATGGCTGGGGGGAGGGGGTCACCACAATATGAGGAACTGTATTAAAGGGTTGCAGCACTAGGAAGGTTGAGAACCACTGGTCTAGAGGTTTCTGCCTGTGCCTATGTGTAGAGCCCACCACAGGGCCATGTTTGTCCTCTAAGCTCCACCCCCTATATCAGAACCTCTAGGGGGACTCTGAAGAAATGCAGGGGTCTATCTTCCTGACCACTCACTCTTCAAGTGTCCTAGGACTCTGCATTCTATAAACCACAATATTGTTGTTTTGTTTTGAGACACATGTCTCACTATGTAGTTCTGGCTGTCCTGGAACTCACTCTGTAGACCAGGCTGGCCTCGAACTCACAGAGATCTGACTGCCTCTGCCTCCCAAGTGCTGGAATTAAAGGCGTGTGCCACCATGCCAAGCTGTTGTTTTGAGATAGGTTCTTACTTCATAGTCCAACATGGCCTAGAACTTACATCAATCCTCCTGCCTTAGCCTCCCAAGCATTGGTACTATAGATGTGAGCCACTGAAAGCTGTTTTTGAAACTTCTTTTACTTACTTATTTTGTTTATTTATGTTTGTGGTACTTTGGATTGAATATGGAGTCTTGCACATGCTGGGCCCGCCCTCTGCCACCTCGCCCTTTTAAAAATTATTATCAGGGCCAGAGAAATAGATCAGTAATCAAGAGCACTGGCTGCTCTCCCAGAGGACCCAGGTTTGATTCCCAGCACCAACATGGCAGCTCACAACCTTCTATAACTGCAGTCCTAGAGGACCTGAGCTCTCTTCCAGCCTCTGTGGGCACTGCATACATATGGAACACAGACATATATGCAGGAAAAATACTCACATACATACAGATAAATTAAAAATAAAATTACTATTACATTTAATTATTTGGGGGTGACATGTATAGAGGACAGAAAACAACTTTTGGGGGTCAATTCTCTTCTACCACATAGGACTAGGTCACCATATTTGGTGGCAAAGGTCTTTACACCCTAAGCCTACTTGAAGTGCACCCCAACTGTTATTTTGAGGGAGGGTCTCACTAAATTGCTCAGGCCAGCCTGGAACACACTCTGAGGCCAGGCAGGCCTTGGACTTCTGATCCTCCAGCCTCAGTCTCTTCAGTGGCTAGGTTGACAGAGCTGCATCTCCATTGCCTTAGCACATCACCATGCATACCTTAGATACATCCATCAACCCATCCATCCATCCCCCCATGTATCCATCCATCCACCCACATATCCATCTATTCATCCATCCATCCACCCACATATCCATCTATCCATCCATCATCCATCCATCCATATATACATATATACACCCATGTATCCATCCACCCATGTATCCATCCATCTACCCACATATCCATCTACCCATGTATCCATCCATCCATCCATCCATCCATCCATCCATCCATATATATACATACATAAGCCCATGTATCCATCCACCCATGTATCCATCCATCCACCTACATACCCATCCATCCATCCATCCATCCATCCATCCATCCATCCATCCATCCACTCATCCACCATCCATCCTTAGGGCCTCACCACACCTTAGCTTTCTTCTAATCTCAAATGTGGTTGCTGCTTTAAGGACCCTAAGCATCTCATGGAGATATTGGCACTTCCTGGGAGCCTGCCCTTTGTCGGGCACAATCTGGGGGTTCGTGGAAGGTGGTGATGCTTATGCTCACTTATTTTCAGATAGGAAAATTGAAGACAACCTGCTGTCACATGTCACATGATTGGAAGAGGCTTATCCAGGCTTCTCAACTGTCATCCCCTCCTGGCGGTCTTCCCTGATACCTTCTGTCTAAAGAGCCTTCCCCCAGTGTTCTGTGCTTTCTCAGCTCTTGGCAGAACTTGTCATGACCATATCTATATATGGAAGGGGTTTCTGCCCCTTTCCTTCAGCTCTGACTTTCTCAGCACCTAGATAATGTCCGGTGCATTCATGGATGCTCAGGAAGTGCTGGAGGAATGAATTTATTTATATGTTCTAAATCACAGTTAGTGCTCAGTGCCAGTACATTTTTTTTCTTGAGTGACCCAAAAACTTGGACCCCACCAACCACTGCTCCCAGCCAGGGCAGACAGGCAACTCACCAGGCTTTCCAAAGCATCCCAGCTGGGGCTTCTGCCAGCTGAGAATAGCCTCCAGCCAGCGCAGCTTGTAGAAGTCGGAGAAGCCGGCCATACCACAGAACATGACTGCAAATACACCAAGTCTCCTCTGTAGGTCTGTCTCCACCATCTGCCCTGTGTTCTTGGGGCCACCACAGGAGGGGGTGCTTAAGGGACCTGCATGCATCTGTCTCCTTTGCTCTAGGATACAGGGACTGGAAGGATATTCTGTCTTGGCCACCAGAGGCTCCCAGGCCCTAGAACTGCCTATCACAGGGTTGCAGGAGTCAGGCTTGGAGGTGGTGTTTGGAAAGAAGCAGCCACCCAAGGGCTCCCTTTCTCTTTATCTCCAAGACCTTGGGGTGGGGGGCATCTATTTGCAAGTTGGTCAGTAGATCAGACTTGGTGGGCAAAGAACAGTCACTGTGACGAATAGACATGCAATGGTCAGTTACATTTAAGCCTCTAATAAGCAATACGCATGCAAGTTTCTGTGGAGGCCAGAGGTTAACTAGAAAGAGCTGCCCACCTTATTTTTTTATTACATTATTTGTTTTCCTATTGTGTGTGGGCATGTGTGTGCCGTGGCATGTGTAGAGGTCAGAGGATAGCTCGTGGGAGCTGATTCTCCCCTTCCATCACGTGGATCTCAGGGACTGAATTCATGTCCTTAGGCTTAAAGGCGGACACCTTTTTTTTTTTAATCACCTGAGCCGTCTAGCCAGCCCCACCTTATTTTTCAAGACAGGATCTCTTAGGACCTTGGACTTGCCCATTCACCTAAGCTTGCTGGTCACCAAGTCTGGGGGGATCCATCTGTCTCTACCTCCTCAGTGCCCCCGGGGATCCACCTGTCCCTGCCTCCTCTGCTCTGGGATTACAAGCATGTGTCATGTGTCACCATACCTGACTTTTTCACAGGAGTGCTGGGGATCAAACTCAGGGCCTCGTGCTTGTAACACAAGCCCTTTACTGACTAAGCTACCTCCCTAGACCTGTACCTTCTGAGTTTACTTGCTTAATTTAGCAATCCGGAGTATGTGCATGCAGCCCCCTTGTAAACACCCCCTACTCTACCCTGAGGGCAGAAGGCTAGGCTCACTGTTTTCCATGAAGAGGTCTTGGGTGGGATAAGCGTATCTGATGGCCTCGGCTCTCCGGTTCAGTTCCATCATATTGGCACAGAAGACATTCATGTAGTGCTGGCTCTGGCGGAACAGCCCTTCAGTGCACCCTTGCTGGGGGACAGACAGTAGGAGATGAGGAAGTGGGCGTGTGGGAGATACATGCTCAGTCAGGGAGGGCCTGCAGCTCTGAGCTGGTCTGGCAGGGGTTGTATTTGGAGGCAGGTCTCTCCTCCCTTCCCAGCCACACTGCCCGCTTTGCAGAGTCATCAGAGTCAGCTTAAATCCTGGCTTGTCAGCTAGGAGCTGAGTGACTGTGGCTCACTAATTAGCCTTTCTGAGCCTCAAAGTCTTTTTCCAGAAAGGGAAGGCCATGCAGGTGTGTCCAACCTTTTGACATTCTGAGATGATATTATTTGCACAGTAGAGTTACAAAGGAATTTCAGAAACTTTATAATGTTTTAAGTGGGATTACAGTTTTGTGTCGTGCTGCATTCAAAGGTTAGACACTACCGGTAGAGACAGAGAGGATCTTGCTTGGGTGGGCAATGTAGGTAGGTAGCGGTAGTGCCTGACGTGAGGACAAACACTAGGCGGCGCTCTAAGGCAGCTTCAAGTGCTGCTAGAAAGTGTGGCCCAGGGAGCCTCACAGGTCACCACGCCACGCTGTGGGAAGAGAAAAGGAGTTGAGAATAGGCTTTTCTTCTCTGCTCAGCGCTTACCATTCTGGCCCAGAGGAAGAAGAGCAGCTGGTGGGACAGGCTGTAGCCTGAGCAGCCGGCCTTGGTCATAAGGGTTCTGCAGAAACTGGAGAGCCTGCAAGGCTGGCTCCTGTCTGTCCTGCGAGAAGACAAACCAGGCTGATGAGGACAATGCTCCCTCCCATCCTACCCAGAGCCTGCACACCCTGTGTTTCCCTCTGTGGTTATTAGGGTGAGGGTTCTGGGATGGGCACAAAGGTTGCCAAACAAAATACAGGTGTCCTGGGTCTTACTTTGTGTTGAGACAAGGTCTCATTCTGTAGCCCAGTCCTCCTGTCTCAACCTCTTTGAGTGCTGGGATTACAGGTATATGATACCATGACTGACTGTGTCCTGGTCTTGATCTAGCTCAGAGGAAGAAGTACTGCTGAACTGTCCTGGACTGGGAGGCCACCAGTGTCTGAGACTTCCTATCACTTCCATGAAGTCCCCAAGTATCTTTCCTATCAGTCTCCTAAATAAAGGACCATCCAAACCCAGCAAACTGGGGAGTGTGGTCTGGGCTCAACATACTTACTCATACCCTCTATGACAGTATAGGTCACCACCTAGAGTGCAGCCCCACTGTGGGTCAGCTGTGGCTTGGCACCTTCTCTGAAAGAGGCTAAGAAGACAATGCCCCCTCCATCCTGCCCTGCCCCCTGCACTTAAATGCCCTAGACCTTGCTGCAAGCCTGCCAGCTGCAGAAGGAAATGGGGCGTAAGACTGTTCAGTACTGCCCCCAGAGGCTGGGTACTGTGTTCAGTATTGCCCCCAGAGGCTGGGTGAGAGGTGCTTGGAGCCCTGCAGGGACTGGCAGGTACTGAGGCTTTGTCCTGTGTGCAGGACTCAGCCACTTTGAGGAGGAGTTCAAATGCTGTGATCCAGGGAAAGTGAGATTTGGATTGCATGGAGCAGGGTGGGAGAGGGTGAGTACCTGTGCACATTTGCTCAAAGCTCTGCTTGTGGCCCAGGGGACACCATGGGGTTTTTAGGTACTGAGGAGATAGGGGACCCACCCGGTTCCTAGCAGTTGCACCAGGCACGCATCGCTGCTTTCCTCTGAGAATGAGTCCAGGGGCTCCAGCTGGGGGTAGACCAGGGAGGCATTGGTGCGTGTCCATGCATGTGGCAACTTCCAAAACCCAGGCTGAATGCTTGGTTGGAACTCTGCAGAGGAGAGGTTCCAGAAAGTGTGCTGAATGGTCAGGAACCAAGGGCTATAATACTGATGGTTATTCCCAGCCCAGAAAATGGATGCCCCTCTGCCTTAGGTGGAGTTTCTACTGCTGTGATGAAACACCATGTCCAAAAGCAAACTGGGAAGGAAAAGGTTTATTTCAGCTTACAACTCTCAGGTCACGCTCCACCACTGAGGGAAGTCAGGGAAGGAACTCAAACAGGGCAGGAAACTGTATGCAGGAGCTGATGCAGAGGCCATGGAGGAGTGCTTGCTCAATCTGCTTTCTTATAGCACCCAGGACCGCCTTCCCAGGAGTGATACCACCCACAGTGAGATTGCCCTCCCCCTCAAATCAACCAATCATCGATCAGACTCTCCTACAGGCATTTTTTTTTTTTTTCACTTTTGGTTTTTTCAAGACAGGTTTTCTCTGTATAACAGTCCTGGCTGTTCTAGAACTCACTTTGTAGACCAGACTGGCCCCGAACTCACAGAAATCCACCTGCCTCTGCCGCCCCCCTCCCCGAGTGCTGGGATTAAAGGAGTGTGCCAACATCTTACAGAGGCATTTGTCAGCATTGAGTCCCTCCTCCCAAATAAATGACTCTAGCTTTTGTCAAATTGACATAAAACTAGCAAGACATCCTCCTGGGACCTAAGCCCACAGCAGGAGGCAGCTCTGTCTGAGCCTTGCCTGGACTGAGCATAAAGTCTGAATCCCACCAGTTACTTTTCTTCCATCAGATCTCACATAGTCCAGGCTGGCCTTAAACTAAACTATATAGCTAAAGAGGACCTTGAGCTCCTGATCTCCTTGCCTCCACCTCAGCAAATTCTGGGATTATGAGCGTGCATCATCCCAAGTGATTTACACAGTGCTGGGAGGGAACTCAGGACTGTGTACACGTTAGGCAACAAGCCCTCTACCAACTGAGCTACATCCCTAGCCCTTGGTCCCCTTTTTTTTTTTTTGGTTTTTCGAGACAGGGTTTCTCTGTGTAGCTTTGCGCCTTTCCTGGATCTCGCTCTGTAGAACAGGCTGGCCTCGAACTCACAGAGATCCGCCTGGCTCTGCCTCCCAGTGCTGGGATTAAAGGCATGCGCCACCACTGCCCAGTGGTCCCCTTTTCTAAAACAACAAAACCAGAACATTTTCCCTAATCCATAGGGGATAGGATTTGCCTAAATACACAGCCTTCAGAGACCAGGCATGCACGTGGGACTCAGACATATATGCAGGTGAGACAGTCACATACATGACCATTTTAAAAATATTTAAAAGGAAGCTGTTATGACCCAGATGCACTCACTGTCACTCTGTCAGGGAATGAACATTTCCCCTAACCAATGGCAAGGATTTACAGACAGACTTTGCCTAAATCCTCAGCATCCCATGGAACTATGAGGTCTTGATAGAAAAATTCCAGACCTCTTGGGTTGGGTGTCCAGTGGAGCTCTTATGAAATCATTGGCCAGCCAGGGGCTTCTGGGAAGGCTGGATGCAGTGTTAATTAAGGTCCTGGTTCATCTGTGTAGTAAGACTGTGGGGAGGTTCAAACCATCCAAGCTGCCTGGCAGAGATGTGACCTGTCAAGCTGACTACAAGTCATGTGGAGAGCTCGTTGGTTCTGAAGGGATTAGATCTGATGGGCACAGGGAGAGGGGCCACAGATGGACATTCAAGGTGGCAGCTTCTTCCTCATTCCCCTGACCTGGTGGCTTTTTCTCCTGCTGGTAAGGCCTCCCCTCTGGTGACTGGTCCAGGCCAGTCAGATGTGCTCAAGGCTGGACCAGGATATGTTTATCTGAAGTATGTGTCTCTCAGTTTGACCAATCCTAAATTAAGGGAAGGGGACTCATTCCAGCTCACAAAGCACCCTTCAAACCCCCAGTCCTCCAGGAGAGCCCCTCTGCCTTGCAAGGGGGCCAACTCTCCGTGAGCTGTGCCGTGTGCACACCTATTCCCTCTGCTGATTGTGCTGTCCGAGATTTTCCCTGCTGCTGCCTGCTGTACTCCAGAGTCTTCCTGCCTTTTAATTCTTTAATTAGCAGGGAAAATGAACCTGATCTAGATCTCCAGACGGTAACATTCCAGCTTGTGTAATCGGCATCCATGCTGGGGTGGGCTGTAAGGATACAGCTGTCTGTGAGTCCTCCATACTCCTGGGAGTGACCCCTCACCCACACTCCTGCAAGTAAGCCGGAAAAACTCACGGTTTACTATCGCTATTTTGGTCTGTCATTTTTCCCTATCTGGGGCGAACAGACATTCATGTCTTCCCAGGAAAAGTGTCACACAGCACACACCAGTGCTGCACATGGCCCTATCCTCATCAGGAACAGATGAATCAGGCTTATAGGATAGGATAGGAGCCTCTGTGGCAGGAGTTCTCAACCTGTGGGTCTCGGCCCCATTTCACAGGGGTCACCTAAGACTATTGGGAAACACAGAGAGTTACATTATGGTTCATAACAGTAGCAAAATTACAGTTATGAAGTAGCAATGAACATAGTTTTATGGTTGGGGGTCACCACAACATGAGGAACTGTGTTAAAGGGTCACACAGCACTAGGAAGGCTGAGAACCACTGCTCTGCTTAAACAGGGCAAGGTGATGAACTTTTTTTTTTTTTGATGCAAAATACAGAATGGTAGGCACTAAGATTCTCTGTGCAAAGAGACAGGCCACCTCAGATCTGTCCCTCTGGCCTAGGATGGGAAATCTGAATTAAAGTCAGGAAGTGGCTGGGTCACTTGTGGCTTCCAGACGACTGATGTAGACTGTCCTGACCCTGCCTTGCTTCAGGAGGTGCCCATACCTGGTATTTCAGTGAGCGCCCAGGATGCTGCCTTTGATGCAGTAGGCCCGCGCCGCTCTTACCTCTTAGGTATGTGGGGTCACTCTGCTTGAGGTAGAAGATGGATTTTTGGAGTAGAACAGACAGTGTGTTGGCCAGCTGTCCAGCACGCAAGCTGAGAGGCTGCAGCAGCGGGTCGGAAGCCCATTTTCCCTGGACTCCTCGAAGTTGCACTGGAGGAGGATGAGGTCAGAAGTCATTCATTCTAACATCTGACCAAACACGTGAGCAGGGAAACACTCAAGGCTATAGTCATGGTCCTGAGTGGAAATGAGGCTCCTATAAAGCTGATCTAGGCTGTGGGTGTGGCTAAGCGTGAATTCTAGAGTTGGGCTTGCGTTCAAATCTTGGTTCTCTATGCTTCTTCATCAACTGGCCAGAAAAAAGTCACTTAATCTCTCTTTCTTCATCATCATAAACTGTTACCTCTTGAGGGGATGTTTTAGGGATTAAGTAAGCTTATGTGTGGAGACAGCATTTTCTGTTGTACAAAGAAAGCATTTAGTGAAGTTCAGCTTTTTGTATTGACTCAGGAGACTGCAGTCTGTGAGGGGTAAGAGGAGAAGTCTAGACTGCAGGAGGCATCTGGAGGCATGGATTTGTTCTTACAGCCAATGTCTACTCATCTACCATTTAGGATATCTTCATAGGTCCCTAAAAATATGGGAGGGTGGCTTGGCACCGTACCTGCTGTGCCGAACGGGAAAGCCAGCGAGCCCCAGGCAAATTATGACTATTATTTCTCTCTCTGTCCTTCCTCCTTCCCTCCCTCTTGCCCTCTTCTCCTCTTCCTCTTTCTCCTTCTTCATCCTTTGCTTCTTCTTCTCCTCCTCCTCCTCTCCTCCTCCTCCCCCTCCTCCTCCTCCTCCTCCTCCTCCTCCTCTTCCTCCTCCTTCTTCTTCTTCTTTTTTTCCCCAAGACAGGGTTTCTCTGTGTAGCTTTTGGAGCCTGTTCTGAAACTCACTTTGTAGAGACCAGGCTGGCCTTGAACTCACAGAGATTCACCTGCCTCTGCCTCCCGTGTGCTGGGATTAAAGGCGTGCGCCACCACCGGCCATCCTTTGTTTCTTTGTTGGATTTTTTTTTAATTTTTTTTTTAAAATTTTTTAGACAGGGTCTCTCTATGTAGCCCTGGCTGTCCTAGAACTCACTATGTAGATCAGGCTGGCCTCAGTGTCACAGAGATCCTCCTGTTAATATTCTGATCCTGACCTTTGGTGCCACCCTATGCCCTGACGTAAAAGCCTATTCTTAAGGGAAAACTCTGCCCATTTCCCTCTCTTCTCTCTTTTCCGCTTTCCTCCCATGAGGTGTGTACCTCTAGAACCCCTTGCCCTTCTCTCTCTCCCTCTTTCTCTCCTCCTCTCTCTTCCCCCCCATCCAATAAAACTCTCCACTGAGCGCTGTCTGCATGGCATCTCTGTCTCTCACCTGCCGTGGGGCACCTTGGCTCCACCCGCCAGCACGTGTAAATCATAACACCACTGCCTCTGCCTCCTGAGCTCTAGGATTACAAGCACACATCACCACATCTAGCTCATGCTTCTTATTTTCTAGAGGAATTTGGTGCCGCTGCATACGTCTCTGTCTCACTTCATCTCAGCCTGGAGGGGATGGGAATCTCCATGGAGATGCCCACTGCCCAGGCCTAGGCAGACACCAGGCATGGGATCTTTGCAACACTGGGCAGGAGCTCACTGCAACCCATATGTGTACTTGAATGCATGCACACCATTGTGTCTTGGTGTGCCTTGGCCGGTTTCCAGCCCACTCCTTACAGATCTTATGCCTCCCAAAGCTAACAAACACTTGGCTGTTTTCTTGGGACCTTTAGCTGCCTTTGGTGGAAGGGGAGGGAAGCAGGTGGGGCATGAAGGGGGGGGGGTTCCTGTTTTGTCTCCAGGCACCCTTAGACGAGGGGAGTGGCATTCCCTTACCGTTTCCAGCCTGTCAGGACTGCCAAAGGAATCTTTTCCTTCCGAGAATATAATTGCCAAATCTTTTCTCATATTGCCTTTAAGTCCTTCCTTATTCTGTGAAGTTTGATAAGAGCTGGCTGAGAACCACACATTCAGGAAGTGCCCCAGATCCTCACCCAGGGTCTCAGGTCCTGGGGGAACTGGCTTTCCTAGCATCCACCTGGGAGCAAGGCTCACATACCTTCCAGCACTTGGAATCCGACTGCACCATCCAGGTTGATTAGAGGCAGCCTGCCCTCCAGGAACAAGGTGGCTTTCTCGAGCGCAGTCAGGATCAGGCCTGCCATGGTGCCCTGTGCAGTGTCTGGCCATGGCAGTGAGGAGGACTGTGGTGGCAGGGCCAGCAGCAGGAGTAGAAACAGCCTGAACCTGGCCATGAATGGCTTACTGTTGGTGGAAGGCCACACCCTGAAATGCCAGGAACCCTCCCAGATCCTTTATTTACCTTGTTCCCGCCTCTTCCTCCACCTCTCTTCCTCAGGAAGACTTGGAGACAAGTGCCAGGGCAGGGCTGCAGGGATCAGCCACAGGGCCATGGCCTGGTCAGGCCAGTCCTGCATATGGGGTTTGCTGTTTGTCTTTATGTGTGGGTATGTATGGGTATGAGTTTGTGTGGATGCATATACTTGTAGGGGTGTGTGTGTGTGTGTGTGTGTGTGTGTGTGTGTGTGTGTGTGTGTGTGTACATGTATGACATGTGGAAGCCAGAGGCCAACCTCTGGTATCATTGCTTAGGAGCCATCCACCTTTATTGAGATAGAGCCTCTCTCATTGACCTGGAACTTGCCAAGTAGTTTAGGCTGGTTGGCCAGTGAGCTCCAGGGACCCTACTGTCTCCACTATCCTAGTGCTGGGATTACAAGCATGTGTCATCATGCCTGACTTTTCATGTAGGCTTGAGTGATTGAACCCAGGTCCTCATGCTTGTTCAGTAAGCACTTCCCTACCTGAGAACTGTCTCCCCAGCCCCCCTATCTTTCTTGATCTAGTTTCCCACTGCTGATCTAGCCACGGTGACTAAAGCTAAAAATTCCAAAGTTTTCTCTTCATCACCAGGATCTCACTATGTAGCCCTGGCTTTCCTGGAACTCACTATGTACACCAGGCTGGCCTCGAACTCGGAGATCTGCCTGCCTCTGCTTCCCGAGTGCTGGGATTAAAGGAATGTGCCATAGACTAGATAACAAGGAAGGCCCAAAGAGGGACGCATGGATTTCCCTGGGAAGGGGAAATAGAAGAGATCTCCTGGGTAAACTGGGGGTGGGGGCGGTGGAGAAATGGAAACTTGAGGGAGCAGGTTGGGTGGGCTGGTTTCGGGAGGCGGGTTGGGGACAAGATGGAGGGGGAGAGTGAAGAAAGAGAATTCTTGATGGGGGACCCATTTTGGGGTTAGGAAGAAACCTGGTGCCAGGGAAACCCCCAGGAATCTACAAGCATGACCCCAGCTAAGACTCCTAGGAATAGTGGAGAGGGTGCCTGAACCGGTCATCTACTGCAAACAGATTGGTGACTACCCTAATTGTCATCAGAGAGCCTTTATCCAGTAACTGATGGAATCAGATGCAGAGATCCACAGCCAAGCAGTGGGTTGAGCTCCAGGAGTCCTGTTTAAGAAAGGGAGGACCCTGGGGGGGGGGTGGGCTGGAGAGATGGCTCAGAGGTTAAAAGCAGTGGTTACTCTTCCAGAGGTCCTGAGTTCAAATCCCAGCAACCACATGGTGGCTCACAACCATCTGTAGTTAGATCTGGTGCCCTCTTCTGGCCTGCCTGCATACATGCAGGTAGAACACTTGCATACATAATAAATAAATCTGAAGAAGAAGAAGAAGAAGAAGAAGAAGAAGAAGAAGAAGAAGAAGAAGAAGAAGAAGAAGAAAGGGAGGCCAGACAAGCCAGGGGGGTCGTCAACGTCATGATGGGGGAACCCACAGAGACAGCTGACCTGAGCTTGTGGAAGCTCATGGACTTTGGACCAACAGATAGGGGGCCTGCATGGGACGGACCTAGGCCCTCTGCATATATGTGACAGTTGTATAGATTGATCTGCTTGTAACGCTCCTAGCAGTGAGATCAGGACTTGTCCCTGGCACTTGGCTGGCTTTTGGAAACCTGTTCCCCATGCTGGATTACCTTGCTCAGCCTTGATGCAGGGGGAGGGGCGCAGTCCTGCCCCAATTTGATGTGCCATGCTTTGTTCAAGCCCATGGGAGGCCTGTCCCTTTCTGAACGGAGAAGGAGGAGGAGTGGTGGGGAGGGGGGTAGATTGGGGTGGTAACGGAAAGAGAGGAGGGAAGAGAAATTGTGGTCGGTATGTAAAATAAATGGAAAAAAGTTAATTAAATAAAATAAAAAAATAAAAATAAAGGTGTGTGCCATTGTGTCAACAGGTTTGCTTGTTTTAGCAGGTACATTGTCTTCACAAGCTTTCTTGGTGTGTCACTTGACCAGTGGGAACAGACTTCAAGTTATGAAGTTAAGTCACAAAACTGGGTGTGGTGGAGCATGCGTGTGATCACAGTACTTGGGAGGGCAAGGAAGGACATTCCACTGCAAGTTTGAGGACAGCTTGGAACTTACAGTGAGTTCAAGGCTAACCAGAGCAGTCTAATGATCCTGACTCAAAATTTAAAAACATAAAAGGAGTGCCAAGATGTAGATCAGTGGAACAGAGTATAAGAAATAAAATGTAATGGTTCATTTTCAAAATGAAAGTAGCATGGGTCAGTTTAGATCCAATTGTTGATAAACAGAAGATACTGGACCCCTGCTGGCAGTCTACTAGTTGCTAATAGGTTTTTTTTGCCCTCTCCCACCTGCCCCATGATAAGTTTCTCTGATGACTCCGTAAGCCAGATCAAGCTGAATTGAAAAAGTGTAAGAACAGGTTTATTTGAGCAAAGCTACTTCCAGGTAAGTTCTCTAGTCACAGACATTGAGGACAGAGAAGCCTCCCCACAATTAGAGCAGAAAGACTTTATAGGTTGTAGGCAAGGGGTGATGACGTGTCCACCTCAAGCTGAGTCTGTGCCCAAGTATGGTCAGAAGCTGAGCTCTTTAGGCAGGGACTTGGGTGGCTGGCAACTTCAGTTGCAGTAAGCGCCAAGAATGTAGAACTGGGCTTTTTGGCATTTGGAGACTCTGAGTGGGCGGGGTTAGGAGATAAAGAGACAGGAATGGGGTTTTCCAGATCATGCTGGACAAGCTGGAGGTTCCAACTGAACAGCTACTACCATTGAACAGTTAGTCTAACGGCCACCCCCAAAACTAGATGTTCAGAATGAAAAACTGCTAACAGTCAAGGTGCCTAATGATCTGCAGACACAATAAGGTCATGTACCTGATAAACTTTAACATAAACAGGATGCAGACCATAGCTGAACCTGTGCATGGTTTTTTGCTGAAGAAAATAATGATAAGAAGACAAATTTAAGTGGCAAAAGGAAAAACAAGACCCAGATTGTACCCTCCTGATCATGCAGCCAATGAGAAAAGGGAGTGTCCTAGTCACTGTTCTATTGCTGTGAAGAGACACCGTGACACGGCCACTCTGATAAAAGAACACATTTAATTGGGGGCTTGCTTACAGTTCAGAAGTTTAGTCCATTATCCCACAACTCTGGCATCTCCAACATTTTGGGTTCTCCAACACAATCCAGATTTCATCTTCACAGCTTCACACAATGACCTCTCTGGGCCTCTACACAGGGACACCCTTGATACATGCCTGGCCTCAGCGGCTTTCCTTGGCTATGGAGGGAGATTTCATGACTCCTTTCTTGTATCCTTGACTCTAAAGCCAGAACCACTTGGTCAAAACTGCCAAGTCTGCTGCTTGACGGGGCTGGAACTTGGCCTCCTCGTTGATTTACATCTGCACCAGCTTTCTGCTGCTGATGGTTTTCTTCACTGCGTATGCTTTTCTTTAATTCCTTTTCACAATTTGAAATTTGCTTAGCTTCGTGGGTTCTTGCCCTGAGGCTACCACTTCTTTTTATTCAATTGAGTACCAGACTTTTCTTTAAACTTTTTATCTCCTTGAGCACTAGATTTGGCTCCAACATTACACTTCCTGGTGTTCCTAATCTCCTCAAGCTGGACATTTTGTATTTTTCCTTTCTTAGCATGGTGATTTGAAAGAAAATGGCCCCCAAAGGGAGTGGCACTATTAGGAGGTGTGGCCTTATTGGAGGAAGTATGTCACGGTGGGGGCGGGATTTGAGGATTCCTATGCTTGGAATACCACCCAGTGTGTCAGTTCACTTCCTGTTGCCTGAGTCAAGATGTAGGTAGGATTCTCAGCTCCAGCACCACATTTGCCTGCATGCCATCATGCTCCCCACCATAATAAAAATAGACTGAACCTCTAAAACCATAAGTGAGCCCCCTCAATTAAATGTTTTCATTGATAAGAATTTCACTGTTGTGGTCTTGGTGTCTCTTCAGCTAAGACACTCAGCGTGCTCCTTTTCATTGAGGATTTGCATAAAAATGATCACCATTAACTACATGACATCGTCAATACTAGGCTGTCTTGAAATCTTCTCTGACAACACTATTTATCCAAAACTCTTCAATTTAGCCTCAGGCAGATTTTTTTGGACAAGGGCAGAAAGCAGCCACACTCTTCACCAAATTATCACAAGAATGGTCTCTAGGCCACCTACTAATATTCCTCTCCTTTGAAACATCTTGAGCCAGGCTCCCACAGTTCAAATCACCCTCAGCACCATTGTCTTCCATGCTCTTCCTAGTTTGGTCCATTAAGCCCTACTTAAAGCATTCAACTGCTTTCCCAGTCCAAAGTCTACATTCCACCAACAAGCAGTATGGTTAGGCCTGTCACAGCAATACCCCATTCCTGGTACCAACTTCTGTGAAAAGTAAGGTCATGGGCCATGATAAAAAGCTAATGAAAGAGTGCCGAGTCCTGTTTCAAGCCCTGGGGACACTGGGACTGGTCCAGGAGTGGCCACTGAGGGCTCCAAGCATGCCTCAGATGAGCTGGTGCAGCTCCTACCAGGAGGATATGAGTGGCTTCACAATGTGCTCAGGGTGCTTCTCAGCAAGAGGATGGCTTCTACAGCATAAGGCTGTTGTGGGACACACCATGGATTCCTCTGTGGCTACTTTGTGAACTGAATTCTTAGATGGGGACCTCCCTTCTTCAAATGAGACTTAAAAAAACCACTGTGTGGGGCTGGAGTTATGGGTCATCAGTTAAGAGTATGCACTATTCTTACAAAAGACCTGAACTGGGTTCCCAGCATCCACATCTGGTGGTTCACAACTGTCTGTAGCTTTATTTCCAAGGAACCCAACACTCTCTTAAGGCCTCCATAGTTTGCACTTATATGCACATACCCACGCATACAGACACACAATTCAAAATGAAAGAACTTTTTAAAAATTTACTATGTGAAAGAATGCATTAGCTGAACTTTGCCCTCAAGGAAGTACAGATCAGAACACTGAAATTCTATCTTAGCAAAGACAGCAGGGCTTCACCAGGAAAACAACAGATGCTGGCAAAGATGTTATAGTAGTTTGAATGCAATTAGACCCCATAAACTCATAGGGAGTAGCACTATTAGGAGGTATGACTTTGTTGGAGTAGGTGTGGCCTTGTTGGAGGAAGTATGTCACAGTGGGGGTGGGCTTTGAGGTCTCATATATGCTCAAGCCACACCCAGTGTCTCAGATCACTCACATGCTGTTGCCTATGAGTCAAGATATAGGACTCTCAGGTACTTCTCCATCACCATGCCTGCCTGTACACCAACATGTTGCACCATGATGAAAATGGACTAAACCTCTAAAAATATAATCCACCCAAATTAAATATTTTTTCTTTATAAGAGTTGCCCTGGTAGTGGTGTCTCTTCACAGTAAAAGAAACTCTAAGGCCGATGGACATAATGGGAAATAATATGGATGTCAACATGCAGTGCCTGAAACAACTAAAAAGGGAATTTCCATGTGATTCAACTACACTGCTTCTAGAATCTATGTCAACAAGCCATGGAGATACCTACACACCCTTGTTTATTGCATTATTTACAGTAGACAAGATATGGAGGGCTGGAGAGATGGCTCAGCAGTTAAGAACACTGGCTACTTTTCCAGAGGTCCTGAGTTCAATTCCCAGCAACCACATGGTGGCTCACAACCATCTGTAATGAGATCTGGTGCCCTCTTCTGGCCTGCAGGCATACATGCAGGCAGAACACTATACATAATAAATAAATAAATCTTAAAAAAAAAAAAAAAGATATGGAACCAGCCAAGATGGTCACCAGTAGATGTGGATAAAGAAAACATGGGACATATGCACAATGGAGGATTCTTTTGAGGAGCAGGGCAGGTCTCAGGTAACCCATGCTGGCCCAGAACTTGATATGTAACTGGACTTGACCTGATCCTCCTGCCTCTACCTCTTGAGTACTGGGATTACAGGTGTGGGTCACTATGTCCGGTTTGTACACTGGAGTTTCATTCAGCCATAAAGAATAGTGAAATTATGTCATTTGCAAGAAATTGGATGGAACAGGGGATTATGTTAAGCAAAATCCAGACTCAGAAAGATAAGCAGGACTTTCTCTCCTACTTGGAATCTGGGGGCAAAAAGATAAGAAAGTGAAAAGGAGACTATTAAAAATGATGAGTGTCTTAGGATTTAATCACTGTGAAGAGACACCATGACCACATCAACTCTTATAAAGGAAAACATTTAACTGAAGCTGGCTTACAGTTCAGAGGTTTAGTTCATTATCATCATGGTGGGAAGCATGGCAGCATACAGGCAGACATGGTGCTGGAGAAGGAGCTGAGAGCTCTACATCTGGATCCATAGGCAGCAGGAAGTGACTGCCACTCTGGGCATGGCTTGAGCATCTGAGACCTCAAAGCCCACCCCAGTGACCACTTCCTCCAACAAGGCCTCACCTACTCAGACAAGGCCACACCCCCAGTAGTACTACTCCCTATGGGGCTATAGGGACCATTTTCGTTCAAACCACCTAAGATCTAAATGTGCTACATGTATGTTTAGAGCTGTCACAATGAGCTTGAGAGACGGCTCAGCTGTTAACACAGGTTTGGTTCTCGTCACATATACAGCAGTTCACCACCATCTGTAACTCCAGTTCCAGAGGGTGCAGCACCCTCTTCTGACCTCTTCAGGAACACAATGCCCATATGTACATGCAGGCAAACACATTCATACACACAAAATAAAAAAGATATGTCATAATAAAATGTAGTCTACCTCTGACTGTGTATAACCAGTATGTGCCAATAAAATCTATGGTTTTTACTATTTTTTCTTAGTTTATTTCTTTCTGTTTTTCATTTTATTTATTTAGTTAATTTTAAAAAGATTTATTTGGGTTTTTTTTGTGTGTATGTCTATGTGAGTGTGTGTGCATGCATGTGTGAGCTCATGGGTATCCATGCTGTGTATATACTAGGGGAAGAGGGTACTGACTGTCTTTCTCTGTAACTCTTTGCCTGCTCTTTCTCTCCCTAAACTTGAGGCTCCTGTTTTTCCTTATAAGCTGGAAGCCAATAAGCTTAGTGATCATCCTGCCTCTGCCCCCTCACAGCTGGGATTATAGGCTTGGGGGTGATGCCTAGCTTGTTACACGGATGTTAGGATCTGAACTCCTGTCTTCATGACTACAAGCAAGAGTTCTTAACTGGCAAGCCATTTCTCCAGCCCCTTATTTATTTTTGTAAGATCTGGTCTTAAGCTGACTAGACTGGTTTTGAACTCCCTATGAAGCTGAGGATGACCTAGAGTTCCTGATCTTTCTGCTCCTCCTCCAAAGTGCTAGGGTTTCAGGCATGTGCTATCCGTGCCTGGCTCCACTCTTTTATATTGAAATGTTGTAATCAATATGCATGCATCTTAACACATGAAGAGATAAGCATTTTGCTTAGCGAATTTTCCCACTGGAAGGCACTTCTGTTAAATGGAGCATTTGGACTGTGGACTCTTCCCTTCTACCAACAAAGATCAGTTCTCATGTGTAGCTCTGATCTCATGTATACACTCTTTAGGAAATGGTCTCTTTCCTCAACATGACTAGGATATTCATCCAAATTACTTTTATTTATTTAGTGTATGTGTGTGGAGGGGCATGCGAGTGTCACAGCGTGAGTGTGGAGGTCAGAGGACATTAGAGGGAGTTGGTTCTCTCCTTCCATTGTGTGGGTTACTGAGATCGAACTCTTATCATGGCAGCAAGCACCTTTACCTGAAGAGACTTCTCATCACCTCTTGTTCAAATTTTTATCTCACTTGTTAGATTATTAAAGGCAGCTGTAGCGAGACAGAAGGCGGAAAGAGAGGCTTGGTCTGATCTTAGCGAGGGGATATTTTTGTTATCCACGTGTGTCGATGGCCAAGATGCTCACAGAAGATGAGATAATGATCTCTTACAGGGGTAGAAATGACTTCGTAGGTCCACAAAGGAAGATGGGAAGTGTAGTCTTTCACCAGGAAACATCATCAGTATAGTTTGAAATTTATCTTAGAGTTCTGAAAAAGAAATTCTTAGACCCTAATAAAGGAACATCTTTACTTTCATAGGGGAAAAACACAGTTCAGGGAACTTGACATGGCCATGTCCTACTAATTCTTGGGCTCCTTAAGCAGTTTCTCAAAGGCTACGGATCCTTTCCAGGCCCCGCCCCTCCGTTCAGGCCCCGCCCCTCCTTCCAGCTCCCCTTTCCTTTTCCAGCAGACACCGCCTTATCCAAGGCCCCGCCCCCTACTTTACAGTGGCGATCTCATCTTCCCACTGCAGGGCCTGGGTCTGCGGCTGCGCACAGCGAGGCGTGCTGGTCAGGTCACGTGTTCGCCGCCGGCCGGCCAAGATGGCGGCGTCCTTCGTGGCGCTGCTGGCTTTGGTGCTGCTGCTGCCGGTGCTGTTGCTGGGCGCGTGGAAGCGTGGGCGGCAGGCGGGTGCGGCCCCGCACGTGGTTGTCGTGGTGCTGGGCGACGTGGGCCGCAGCCCCCGCATGCAGTACCACTCGCTGTCATTGGCCCAGAACGGCTTCTCGGTGACGCTGCTGGGGTTCTACAGTGAGTGGCGGGGACCTGGGAGGGATGCTCGGCCAGGAGTCTTGGCGCGCTCTGTTCTGAGGCCGAGGCAGGGGCGGCTGTACTCCTCTCCTGCCTGTTCTGGCCTGGATCGCTGCTTCTTGTGTCAGCCGCCGCTTACCATACGTGAGGACTACGAAGAGATCGGCTGCAAGGTCCCACTTAATTCTCCTAGGTAGTGCAGAGACTGAGGCTGAAATCCTGGTGTGTGAGACCTCAGTGCCGGTCACTACTTTATCGTGCTGCCTTGTCATTGGGTTAAGGGGCCGCGTTTCTTTGAATTCCTCATCCAGCGCTGAGCTTTTCTACCTGGGGATGTTTCTCTCGTTCCCTAAGGTGCAGGCAGAGGTGTCCACTTCCTCATTATGCCCCATGTTGTTGATTTTGCCGGGGTCCAGTCTCACTAAGCAGCCTCTAGCTGGCCTGGACCTTGCTATGTAGACCACAGTGTCCTTGAATTCACAGAGATTCACCTGCCTCTGCCTTTAGAGTTCTGAGATTAAAGACATGCACTACCAAGCCCAGCAGGTGTCCGACCTTTTGAAACCGCGATATGAACTCTACCAGCATGTCAGGCACATTCATAACTATCCTTGCACACATTCTGGGCACTTAAAATTGGACACATCTGCGAACTTAGGGCGTGGCTCAGCTCCATTTAATGGAAAGTGGGAGTAGCTCTTATCGGTCCCTATATGGAGGGCTATCCCAGGCCTTGGGTGGAGGGAACTAACCCAGACTCTTGACATCCAGGAGTCTACATCAATTTAATTGAGTCCCTATTGCTCACCAGTCATTAAGTTAAAGAGTGGATATGAAGAATGCCCTTCGAGGGCATTCTAGTAGAAAAATGACCTCACTTTCCATACTGGGAACCAGAGAGGTATTGATAAGTACTAACCCCCCCCCCCCCCCCACCTCATCTATTTGGCACAGGGCCTTGCTTTGTAGCACATGCTGGCCTTGGACACCCTATCCTGCTTTATCCTTTCAAGTACTGGAATTACAGATGTGAAGGAACACATCCAGCTGACTGTAACTACTTTTGGTACCTTAAAGGGCACGTTTGCATTTGCAGACTCCAAACCTCGAGATGAGCTCTTGCAGAGTGACAGGATTCAGATTGTGAAGCTGACAGAGCTGCAGAGTCTGGGAGGTAGGACCAGGCAATTCCAGGTTCCTGACTAGGGTAGGTGGTTTGGAGGGCAGATGAGGGGACTAGCACACTGCCAAGAGCTCCGTTGTAGAGATGGATGTTTTCTGACTTGCAGCTGGACCCCGAGTTCTCCAGTATGGAGTCAAAGTGGTATTTCAGGCAGTGTACTTGCTATGGAAGTTGATGTGCACAGACCCTGCAGCCTACATCTTCCTCCAGGTATGAACCAGCTGCTGCCTCCTTCTGTGGGAACCACTGTTAGCAGTTCACTTGCTGGCCTTTTAAACATGCACGGATTGGGTTGTGGGTGTGGCTCAGTGAGGTCCTGGATTTGATGTCTAGTCCATGCACAAAATGCACCAATTGTTATATTGCATGCTTCTGTGTGCATAAACTATAAAGAACCCGAGGAGGGCTGTTGCACTCATGAACTTGCAGCAGCTGTTGGTTATCTGTACACCAGCACAAGATCAAGCCTGCCAACCTTCCAGCATGGATGGGGAGGAATTCATAGGGGCGCTGTCCCTAGCCGGGGAGCTGTTGGCAGTTAATGGTTGTTGGGGGAGGGGAGTCATTTTTCTTCCGAAGTGTAACCACTAGTAAATTGCCCAAGCTCCGGTGAGTAAGCCCCACTCTGTGTTCATACAAGCAACTCCAATTAAACTCAGTCATTAAAGGAAAAAAAGACATGAAAACAGGAGGGGACTAGTTGGGAAGAAAAGAGGTACAGAGGGATTATTGAAAGGTTGGGAAGAGGCTAAGAAAGGGTAAGGGGAGAGTGATCAAAAATACATTATATATACAGTTATAAAATTGTCAAATAGTAAATACAATAATATTGAAAAAGAAATAAGCATGAGTGTATGGAGTGCTGGAGAAATGGCTCAGCACTTTAGATCACTTGCTGTTCTTGCAGAGGACCCAGGTTTAGTTCCCAGCATCTACAGTAGAGGCTTACAACTGTCTGTAACTCAAGTTCCCGGGGATCCATACCCTCTTCTGGCCTCTGCAGTCACTAGGCACGAAGGTGGTACACATACATACATGTAGGCAACCACTTACATAAATAAAAATAAATATTAAAACCCCCAAACCTGAGTAGGAGTTTATAGTGTGTCTGTTGTATGTGTAGTACCCATTGGTGTCTTGATGTTTTGGCCCTTTAATGCTCTCAAGAGCCCTGTGGTGTAATCTCATATTACAGCGTAGAGATGCGGAGACCTAGACAGAGGTCCTGTAAGTAAACTTACTAGTGTATGGCTGGGAAGTGACGTCTAGCTAGGAAGTGATGAGTCAAGGTTTAAGCCTATGTAGTTAAGTTTTTAACTTCTTCCCCTCACTGTTTTTTTTTCTTTCTTTCATGATTATTGTTTTTGTGTATGGTGGGGGCATGGTTGGGGATACATGCTGCTGCATACTTGTAGAAGTCGGGGGGGACAACTTTATGGAGTGGGTTCTCTCCTTCCACCTTTATGTGGGTTCTGGGCATAGTACTCAGCTTGCCAGTCGGAATCACACTCCTTTACCTGCTGGGCTGTCTGTTCACTCCTTCTCCCCAGCATCAGTTTGAATGTCTAGAAGTAGCTTTTCTTTTTTTTCTTTTCGAGACAAGGTTCCTCTGTGTAGTTTTGGTGCCTATCCCAGAACTTACTCTGTAGATCAGGCTGGCCTTGAATTCACAGAGATTCACCTGACTCTGCCTCCCAAGTGCTGGGATTAAAGGCATGTGCCACCAACGCCTGGTGAAGTAGCTTTTCTTAATGGCTTTTGCTTACAGTATATCCGTATGTGATCTACTGTAAGGTATGTAGCCTTATCCAGCCGACACTCAGGTTTTTCCTTAGTTTATTTACTGTGTGTATGTGTGTGTGGGTTCATGTGTGGAGGTCAGAGAACAACTTGGAGTCAGTTCTGTTCTACCACACAGGAACTGGAGTTGAACTCAGGCTTGGTGGCAGATGCTATTAGTTGTTGCCAACTCTCTCTCTTTTTTGTTTTTGAGTTGGTGTCTTGCTATGTAACTCTGGCTTGCTTGGTAATTACTGTATAGCCCAGCCTGGGCTTGAACTCAGGTCGCAATCCTCCTGCCTCAGCCTCCCGAGTGCTGGGATTACAGACATGCACTACCATGCCTGGCTTCTTCCTGATTGTGTGTGTGTGTGTGTGTGTGTGTGTATGTATGTGTGTGACATCTTTCTATATAGCTCTGGCTGTCCTAGAACTCACTGTGTAGACCAGGCTGGCCTCAGACTCACAGAACTCTGCCTGCCTCTGTCTCCTGAGTGCTGGAATTAAAGGTGTGCGCCACTGCACCTGGCCTTCCTTTTTTTTTTTTTTTTTTAACCTTTACATATGGCTCAGATGAGAGTATAGGGTATATACATCTGTGACTCATGTCCAGTTTCTTTCTTCGGAGAAATTCTTGGCAGAAGACTTGCTTTGTCAAATTTCCTGCATGTTTAAAATGTTTAGTGTAACTTGGTGGCCGTAGAGTGAACCTGGGCCTTTGGGGTGCCTGTTTGGCATTTTCTAGAGCTTGCATTTTGATGACCAACACTAAATGACAGCATTTTGTGTTCCTGTTTTTACTTTTTCTTTAGTTTTTATTTTATCTAGGTGTGTGCGCGTATGCATGTATGTTCATGTGGACTTGAGTGTGTACATGCCACAGCATGTGTGTGGAGGTCAGAGGACAACCGCAGAGGTCCTTCCATTGTTTGAGATGGGGGTTCTCTGTTCTCCACTGTCTATTCTAGGCTCGCTTGCCCATAACCTTCCATGGTGTCTGCTGTCTTCCATCTGTCTTGCTGGAGGAATCCTAGGGTTACTATTGTGAGACACCGTGCCCAGCTTTATATGGGGTCTGGGGTGAATGCAGGTCCTCATGCCCTTGTGGCAAACCCTTTACCTCCTGAGCTTTCTCCTTAGCTCGGGTGCTCTTGATTGTTGATGATTGGGGGTTTTCAAATTGGGCAGTTATTCTTACTTTCTTTTGATGGTGGAGAGGGTCTTCCTTCTGCCTGTTGGCTGATGAGACCTTACAGGCCACAACCTCTTTGCTGTGTGGTCTCCTCTCCAATCTGGCTACACGGCCATGGCCTGTGCTTCTTCCACTGCCTCCAAGTCTCTCTTTCCTAGAACCCCCCGGGCCTGCCTGCCATTGCCGTCTGCTGGTTGGTGGGCTGCATCTGTGGGAGCAAACTGGTCATCGACTGGCACAACTATGGCTATTCCATCATGGGCTTGGTGCATGGCCCCCGACACCCCATTGTGCTGCTGGCCAAATGGTGAGAGGGTGTGGGTGGTTCCCCAAGTCCTCGTTAGAGTGAGCGGAAGAGAAGGGCCTGGGGAAGCAGGCTGGATCTGGAGCAGGGTCCCTGGTTCTGCTCTGGCCCTGGTTGTCCCGTCTCATCATGTGCTTCCAGCTCTGGGGGTCAGCTAGCTGTGCCCTCTCCCTGTGGGACATTGTTCATTGGTGACCAGCAGCCCAGGCAGACTGTCACACAGCATAAGCTTCACGCCAGGCACCAGGCCAGGCCCGTGTGTCTCCCATCTGTCTCCATCACCCCTGGTTATGGTGTACTGTACAGTGAGGAGAGTGGGCTGAGAATGACGCTGTCTCTTGCCACCCAGGAAGTAAGTCAGGAACGAGGGAGGAAAAGGCTGCAGAGGTGCTATGGTGGTAGCTAGTGATCTTTTTCAGTCTGTCACCCAGACTGGCTTTGAGTTTGTGTTGGTCCTCTTGCCTCAGCTCCTTACACTCTGGGATTTTAGGCACAATCCACCACACCCAGTTTAGTAATCCTTTTTTTTTTTTTTTTCTTCACTGAGACAGTGTTTCTCTGTGTAGACTTGGCTGTCCTGGAACTCCCTTTGTAGCTCAGGCTGGTCTCGAACTTGTGGGGCGTTTACCCACCACCCCCACAGTTCCCCAGAGATTTCTTGAGTGCGAGCAGCAGGAAATATTAGATAGAAGGATTTATTGCGGAGAATCTTGCGGAGATAAACAGATAGAAAATAAAGGATAGCCTCGAGAGGGCCTGGAACCTTTTCCAACGGGCCCCGACTGTCTCTGCCCCAGGGTTTTTATAGAGACGCCAAGGGGTGGAGCAAAAGACCTCCTCCCCCAGCACAGCCAAGTGCAGACCATCTCAGACACCTGCACTCAGGCCCGTGGTCTAATCATCCTCTATGCAGTCCTGCTGGGTAAAGCCACGAGGAACCCGAGAACGGGCTCCCACACGAACTCACAGATCTGCCTGCCTCTGCCTCCTGAGTGCTGGGGTTTAAGGCTAGTGTCACCATGCTCAGCTGGTAATCCTACTTTTATGTATTTTTTTGTAATTAATTTTTTTCTGATTTATTTTTATTTTAAAAATTCAATTTATCTTATATATGGATATTTTTCCTGAATGTTTGTCTGTGTACCATGTATTTATCTGGTACCTGTGGAGGCCAGAAGATGGCATCAGATCCCTTGGCACTGGAGTTATAGATAGTTGTGAGCTGCCATGTGGATGCAGGGACTCGAACCCTGGTCTTCTGGAAGAGCAGCCAGTGCTGTCTGGCCCCTAAATTTGTTTTTTGAGTCTCATTTATTGCAGGCTGGCCTTGATCTACCTCTCAAGTGCTAGGATTACAGTTGTGTACTACCACACTTATTTTATGATGTGCTGGGGATGGAATCCAGGACTCTGAAGCATTATGGGCAAGCACTCAACCAACTGAACTACATCCTTAGTCATTCATACATACATGAAACAGTGTCTATCCCAGACTGGCCTCAGACTCTCTGTGCATCACAGGATGACCTTGAACTTCTGATCCTCCTGCCTTTTTCTCTTGAGTGTTTGGATGGGCATGCACCACCATGCCCCATTTTTGTAGATCTTGAGATAGAACCAGGGCCTTGAACTTGCCAGGCAAGCACTCTGCCAGCTGCGCCACATTCCCAGCCTGCAGCTTAGTAACCTTGACTTCTTCTTCTCATTCTTTGGGACAAAGCCTCAACTCCTTTCGTACAACAGTGAGAGAGCCACAGGCTGCTGGTCCAGGATGGCTGAGATTTGGTTAAGTGGCCATTTCTAGATTTCCCCTCTATTGCATGAGGCTGGATTTGTGGAGAGTGAGTGTTTCCCTTTACAGTAACTGTGTGTTAGCTGAACAGTGACAGGGAAGGAAGGTGTGAAAAGTGACTGTATGGGGAGCTCATGGCACATCCTGACAGGCTCCAGGCCTTAGTTCTACAGCCTTTTCACTACCCATGGGTATCAAGCCATATGGAGGTTGGAGTGGCAGCTTGGCGCATCCCATGGCTAACTGTTGATCCCCAAGACATCTTTGTAGGTACGAGAAGTTCTTTGGGCGCCTGTCCCACCTGAACCTGTGTGTGACCAATGCGATGCGGGAGGACCTGGCAGAGAACTGGCGTATCAGGTATGCAGGGCTTGGGATGCCCATCAGCCCATGTGTTTTGAGAGCTGCAGCACCTGCTCTGTTGTGTCGAAGTGGTCAGGCCCAGGGAAATAGTTATTGTTTGAGAAGCCAAGGGAGGAGTCAGTAGGCTTCCTTTCCCTCCCAGCTCTGTGGCCTAGGACATTTTGGTCCTAAGTATATGCACTGTTCTAAGTAATCGGGAAGTTTCTTGTCTCTGGGATTCCCCAAGCTCCCTTGCTTTTTGGGATCCTGCTGTGTCCTGTTGTTTAGATTTTTCTCTGCCCACTTCCATCTCATGTCAGGGCTGTGACTGTCTACGACAAGCCAGCATCTTTCTTTAAGGAGACGCCCCTGGACCTGCAGCATGAGCTCTTCATGAAGCTGAGCCACACGTACTCTCCTTTCCAGAGCTGGTATGTCTTCCTTTTCTTCGCTGTCCTGTTCTGGAGACCCGTGGATCCTCTTATCCAGGGGCAGCAGCGAACTAATACTGTGGCCTGCCTCCTATTGCTGTAAATGGGGTTTTATTGGGACACAGTCCACCCATTCACCTGTGTTGATAGTAGCTGCTGGAAGCCTGGTGTGGTGGTGAATGTCTGTAATCCCAGCCCTTGGGAGGCTGAGGCAGGAGGATTGCAAGTTTGAGGCTTGCCTTATCGTACCTTAAAACCAGTGGTTGCTCTCAAACTGCAGCAGTGGAACTAGGTTTCACAAGAGTCCACAAAGCCTGAAGCATTTACTCTCTGGCCCTTTAAGAAACTGCCTGCTGAGCTCTGTGCTACCTCATCCTGCTGCCAGTGGGTTCTTGTAGGGAAGGGGGACCTGGGTGTCTTCTGGGTGTCTCACTGGGGGGTTGAAGGCCCCTGTTAGTTTTGCCCATGTCCTGTGTGTGCTCCTGGGAGCCAAGCACGGCTGCTGGGTGGTGGGTCAGCACCTCCTCACTGAGATGCTGAGCAGGTAGAGTGGGAGCCCGTGGAGGTGGCACTGGGTGGTGGAGTGGGTGCTGCTCCTGTAGCCTCAGTGCCAGCAACCAGGATCTGTGAGGTCAGGGGGGTGCCAGATGGCTGGGGGCCTGTGGCCTGCCTGTGGCTCTGCTCTTGTGCTCCAGTGTCTAGTATCTCACCTCTTTCCTCTGATTCTTCAGCTCAGAGCCCTCGGACGCCAGCATGGAGAGGTCTGCCTTCACTGAGAGGGACTGTCAGAGCGGGGTGGTGAGGAGTCTGCATGGGCGGCCGGCACTGCTTGTGAGCAGCACTAGCTGGACAGGTCTGCCTCCCTCAGCACCTGGGGTGTGTGCCCAGCTTGTCTTGGGATCTGGGGGTGGGTGTGTGAGTAGGGTGGGAAGTTTGGGAGGCAGCCTATGACCCCCCTTCTTTTCTCCCCATAGAGGACGAGGACTTCTCCATCCTGCTGAGAGCACTAGAAAGTAGGTGTATGGCTGCATCTGCAGCTCGGAGCTTGTCGGGCTGCTGTAAGGCCCTTCCTGGCCTTTTGTGGCAGCCTGTCATTTGTGCCCCTGGTGTCATGGGTGGGCAGCTTGAGACAGTAGGGGAGGGCATGGGAAGCTTATGGCCGTTACATGGTCACTGACCTTCCGTCTGAATGTATCTGGAGTCTAGCAACCCCCTGGGGAGCAGCCTCCCCCTTCTACTTACCATCTTATTTTCTCCTGGTCGGTGTGTTTTTTTTCAGAGTTTGAACAACTAGCAGTGAGTGGAGACAGCCTTCCTTCCTTAGTCTGTGTGATAACAGGTACTGATGGGAACACCTTGTCATACTGTTTTGGAAGGGTGGAGGGTAGCAGAAGAATGGACATATGGCATTTACAGAACACCTCTGTAGGGTACTTCTCACTAGTCATCACCTCAGTTCTCCAGGGTAATTTCTCCCTTTCTCCCCAAGACCTTGCCCAAGCTAGGCAAGTGCTCTACTACTGAGCTACATCTCTAGCTGTCTTTTATCTTTCTGTGTGTAGAGAGAGGGTCTTATAAGTTGTCCAGGCTGGCCTTGAACCCACTCTGTAGTCCAGGCAAGCCTTGATATGCTAACCTGCCTCAGCCTCCCAAGTAGCTGGGACAGGCCTGTATGACCAGGTTCCTGGGTAGAGTTTCTACAACCACTGGATAATAAGGAACCTGAGGCTCAGAAAGGACTTAAAAGTTCAGATTTGAGTCTGGATGGTCCTACTTAGATCAAACTCCCCCCTCCCCTTTTCCAGTGCATTTCCAGTTTCTGTAGTTTAGAAGCAGTGTGTCCTCGGAGCAGTCACAGGGTTAGGCAGCCACCTCCTCCTCTCTCCTAGCCAGGTTCCCTGCATGCTAAGGAAAGTCCCTGCGTCACTTGGTGTAGGTGGAGATTCTGTCTATCTTGCTGGCACCCTAGCATTTATCTTAGACCCCTTCGCCACCCCGCAGCCCTGTGCCTGCTACCTGGGGTGTGTTTAGTGTCTTGGCCATGGGATGTCAGGGGCGGATGGCGCCGCTGGGGGTCTGGTCTCGGGAAAGGGTTGGCAAGTGTCGGGTGGAGGGAGCAGCAGGACCCGCCCAGTGGCCGTGATGGAGTGTGGCAATGTTAGTGACTTTTCTTCTCTGTGAAGGGAAGGGGCCTCTCAGGGAGCACTACCGCCACCTCATCGGGCAGAAGCACCTCCAGCATGTCCAGTTCTGCACCCCATGGCTGGAGGCTGAGGACTATCCGCTGCTTCTAGGTGAGAGGGCAGGCTTCAGGGGCACACGGCCACACTACACTGTCCTACAAGGGTGGACAGGGAAGATGTTCCCAGCCTCTTCTTTTGCCCTGTAGTATTTGAGACAGGATCTTTGTAGCCTAGGGTAGCCTTGAGTTTGCATCAGAGCCTCATGCCTCAGCCCTGAGTGCTGGGATTACAGGCGTGCACCACTCTGCCTACGTTTTGGTGGTGGTGGTGGTATTTTTTTTTTTTTTTTTTGGTTTGTTTGTTTTTTTTGAGACAGGGTTTCCCTGTGTAACCTTGGTTGTCTTGGATCTTGCTCTGTAGACCAGGCTGGCCTTGAACTCAGAGATCCACCTGCCTCCATCTCCCGAGTGCTGGGATTAAAGGCGTGTGCCACTACTGCCCATTATTTTTCTTTTTCTTTTTTTTTTTTTTAAACTTAGAGGAATTGGCTCTCTCCCTCCACTATGGGGTCCAGGGATGGTCCAGTTTGTCAGGCTTGGGAGCAAACACCTTCACTTACTGAGCTAAGCTAGTTGAATGTGATCAGAGTGACTGCCTGGGAATTTTCTCTTTGAAAATGAATTATAGCTAAGTAGAAACAATAAGTGAATACAAGTAAAAACAAAACAATTTTTAATCATTAGGCAGTGTGGGACAGGACCTGGTGGTCAACCATGTTTTTGCCTCTGGTCAGGCTGCCTGGCTCCTTGGTCAGCTTATACCATTTGTATTTGGGGACAGTCTCACAGGGACAGCTTCTGATTTCCACTCCTTGTCTAGGGGTTGCTACATAGACCTGGGAGAATGTGTCCTAGTGTTTGGACTGTCTCTGCAGGGTCAGCGGATCTGGGTGTCTGTCTGCACATGTCTTCCAGTGGTCTGGACCTGCCCATGAAGGTGGTGGACATGTTTGGGTGCTGCTTGCCTGTGTGTGCCGTGAACTTCAAGTGGTAGGAGTAGATACTGAACCTTACTTGGGGCATATTCTAGATCAGCAGCTGGGGACCCTGTCCTGTGGTTGGGCTGAGCCCTAGGGAAGGACAGTCAGCTTGGCACATCCATACCATGCCAGTCACCCAGATGCAAAATGTAGTTAGGATGTTGGAAATATTAGTACATTCCTGTAGTCTGGAGGCAGAGGCAAGAGGATCCCTGAGCTTGAAGCCAGCCTGTGCTACACAGTGAGTTTCTGTCTTGGGAAAACTGTAGCACGGAGTATGTTGATTGTGTCTGTATCAACATGTAGCTTTCTTATCCTTGTTCCATTGCTGGGATGTTAGAAGTCATCTAGAGGATGTGAAGCATAGAGTAGGGTTCATGTGACCATATGCAAGCAGTTTACTTAAGGGACTTGAGCATCTGTGGATATAAAAGGGGCTCCAGAAATGAGTCCTGCACAGATAGAGGGATGGGGGTGGCTGGAGTTTGTTCATGGTTAGCATTCTACTGATTTACATCTCTCTGTCCTGTGACTGATCTCTTAGTTGGATGGGAATCGTCCACACCAATGCAGTTCTGGGACTCCACTTTCCCTGGCCAGGGTGGATGTGGGCATGGAGGTTGCAGCTTGATAGCTAGGGACCAGCCTTTGGATGTGAAACCCTTGTGTGAGCCAAGCTCAGGATTTGTCAGGATCCCATCTCCCAATGACTCTGAAAGCTTCTCTTAATGTGTAGAGCCAAATACAGGCTTGCTGGGACCCTACCTCTCAGGCTGGAGTGGAGAAAAAACACAGAAACCATCTTGGCACAGAAAGGCCACCTTCTGTTTCCAAATCATTCTTTTGTTTTGACATGTGCTCTTGTAGGCTTTTCTGTCCAAATGCTCGCTCTCAGAACACTGAGGCCAACCTGCCATTCTTGTGTTGGCTTCACCTGAGGGAGTAGTGGTGGCCCAGCTGGGCTCCCTTTCTTTTCCTTGTTCTCTCTGCAGTTTGCATGAGCTCCTAAGACACGGAGAAAATGGCCTGGTCTTCAAGGACGCGGAGGAGCTGGCAGCCCAGCTGCAGGTAGCGGGCTTCTCCTGTGGGGCTTGAGCCAGCTCCCTGATCTCTGCTTCCCACACAAGGACGCCTGTGGTGGGACTCTGGGATGTAGAGGAGAGGTGGAGGAAGGAAGCTGGGGCACCAAGATAGCTTCTCAGCCTGGGCTGACAAGGGCTGGAAGAGCCAGGCACAAACATATACTCCTGCCTCCTGTTTGCCCTTTAGAAGAGTGGGGGCCGCAGGAGTTTCTGCAGAAGGTGTATTTGTCCTTACAAAACTAATGTTGATCCCTCAAGTGTCTAGTGATGGGAGGGGCACAGCTAGACATGAGCAAGCCTGACCTGACATGGGGCAGGGTGGGCAGGGAGCTGAGTTCTAGTCTTCCTTTTCCTATAGATGCTTTTCTCAAAGTTTCCTGACCCTGCTGGAAAGCTAAACCAGTTCCGGAAAGAACTCCGGGAGTCACAGCAACTGCGGTGGGACGAGAGCTGGCAGCGGACTGTGCTCCCTTTGGTCACTCACATTGACCTCCAGGCCAGAGGCTAGGGCTCTGTCCTCAGGGTGTGGAATGAGGCCCCGCCCAGCTCCATCCCTCCGGTACCGCAACCCCTTCCCAGCCGGCCCCTGCTCCACTTTGTCCCTGGTGGGCTTTTGAGTGCCCCCTAGTGGCCAGAAGCCTAAGGACGGCAGAGGACGCAGAAGGGAAATGGATGATCTGGCAGCTGCTTCAATCGCTGGCTCTTGAGAAGCTCTTCTCTCTGGTGACCCTGTCAACCTCTCAGTCCCTGGTTTTTGTGTCCAGACTCTCACATTCCTGTGTTCTGGTTCTGCTGGGCTGCCATGAGCTCTGGGATATCGTGTGTTCAAGGCCTGAGCTGTCTGGCAGGACAATCATACTTGATAAATTCATGTTTTTATTAGTGCAAAGGAAATGCTTGCTCTGAGCCTGTGTCCATTCCAGATGAGTTGCTGAGGACAGGCACCAGCACTCAAAGCCTGTGCTTACTGTACATCTGTGGTTTGTTATTTAACATTCCTGCCCAACAAAAGCCTTTTCAGCTCTCCCGTGGACTCTTCCCATGACAGCGATCTCATTTTTCCAATCACCTTCCAACACTGTGGCAACCATTCAGCACGAGCTTCAGGATTACGATGGCCGAGTGCTCTTCATAAGGGAACAGTTGGCCGGCATGAGGAGGCACCTCTTCCCAGTAGATCCCTGCGCGCTCTAGACGGAGTACAGAGATCTCAGGAGGGCAGTGTGGGGACAGGAAGCTAACCTATTAGTGCAGGGCTGTTGACACAGGCGTGCATCCGAGCTGATCTGCTTGGGCCACAGGTTTCCAGGCCCATGCAGATGCCCTGAGGGTCTCTGTGTGTGGGCATGCTCAGTCTAAAGGAGGATGGCAAGGGATCTGCTCTACCATTTCCCACCTTATTCCCTCAAGCCCCAGCAAATCTGTCTCTGCCCCCAACAGTGCTAGACTGACAGGTGTTGTGGCCACAACTCAACTTTTTTTTTTTTTTTCCCAAGACAGGGTTTCTCTGTGTAGCTCTGGTTGTTCTGGAACTCACTATGTAGACCAGGCTGGCCTCAAACTCACAGAGATCCATCTGTCTCTGCCTCCCAAGTGCTGGGATTAAAGGTGTGCAACACTACCTTCTAGCTAACAACCCAACTTTTTACATGGGTGCTGAGGATTCAGACTCAGGGCTTCATGCTTGTGCAGTGGGCACATTTGCCTACTCATCTCTCTCTCCAGCCTGAAGGCAAGCTGTTAAACAGCAGCCACAAGGTGGCCCACTCCTGTCATACCCGATGGGTGCCCTACCCTCTGCACCTGTCTGCCCTGTCGGTTGGCACAGGCAGAGAAGAGTGGTAAGCCAACTGCAGCTGCCTGGTTTCATGGGGCCTGCAAGACTGCGGGCCAATATGGTCTCTTAACTACACTTCTGTTATAAGAAAAGCTAGTAATTTAAAGAACAGGGTAACACTGGCATAAAAATATGCGCAGTTCTATAACCCCACTACCTGAGTATAACAAACAAAGTTGGCACACTACAAATTCCTCCCAGCTCTAATTTTTAAAAATCTTACGGATGGAATCCAGCCATGCACATAGTAGGAAGTACTCTACCACTGAGCTAAGTGCCCTGTTCCCCATAAAGATAGCTTTGAAATCAGGGTGTTTCTTAGGGTAGGTAGATTGCAGGCATTGTGTGTGTGTGTGTGTGTACATGAATCCAAAGGACATTCAGAGTCCTTAGTGCTCCCAGTGGGTTCTGGGAGCACTCACCTGATGGTTTGCTCTGCTGAATGAGGGAGTCTGTCAGTCTGTCCACAGATGCTGTGGCAGGTGAGTGTGGACAGCTTTGATCTGAGTGCCTTAGTATCTATAGGTGAGGTCAGATGATGATAGGACAGCCATCTCAGGTGCTGATGACTGGCGAATGTCAGACTGGAGGACAGACAGGGCTCATAGCACTGCCATCTAGGGGCTCTGCAGATGGTGGGGCTCTTATCCCCTTCTAAAGTCCCCCCAGCTTCTCTTCTAGTTGCAGAATACACAAACAATGGCTGCTAACTGCTCATTGCCTCTGCTGGCCAGGCTATGCCTCTGGTGAATACCTCCACAGAACATAAGGATGGGTGCCGAGGGGCAAGGCCAATGTCGGCCCAGTTTTTAAATCCTCCTAGGGACAGAATGGTGGCCCACAGGTTGAGAACTGACCCAGCTCTGTGATGAACAGCTTGCCCGTGTCTTGGCTGCGGATGGTATAGGCCACGTAGACAACAGGAGCATTCATCCTCTGGCAGGCGCTGAGCATCTTCAGGACCCTGACCAATGACAGTGTCACTTCCCCGCAGTATAGCACATCTACAACGGAAAGGCTGTCACTGAAAGGGCCTCCTATAAGGACCTGCACCCAGAGCGAGGGTGTGGGGCTGGGCTGACTCTGCATGGGGTGAGGACTATGGTGTTTAGTGGTGGTGTTAAGACTTGTTTTGTTCCATAGGAAGATGCCCCAGGTGAAAGGGAGGGAGTCTGAAAGCCTCTACAGTGGACCCCCACCCCCATGGTAACATCAGTTCTGTGTCCCTTGCTCATCTGCTAGTGACTGGCTTTGGGCCTTTTGGGGGGACTTGTGTCAGCTGCACTGTGGGATGTGCCATGTTTCTGGTGACCTCTAGGATCTTTGGTGGCCCAGGCAAGCACTGTTTTCTCTCAAAAGACTCCATGCTCTTTTGTCATCTCTGAGAGACACAGGATAAGGATCTGGGACCCAGATGTACTGGTGGGGAGAGCCAAGGCCAGCCACATGGCACACTGATGACAGTGACTCCTTGGCATATCTGCATGGAGCCATCATAGACACTGTGGCAGGGCCCCTCAGCTCCTGTTCCCTGAATTGGTCTCTCTCACTCCATTTAAACATGACCCAGGATGGTGTTATTAACAGGTGGAGAAGCTGGATGTGGGCCTGGGAAGACCAGAGGCTGTGTGGCCGATCTGCCCCACCTAACGCTGCAGGGTGGCTGTTTGTCACCAGCAGTGGAAGGCACAGTCTCGGTGTGGTGGGTGGGTCCAGGGAAGGAGATGGGTGGCATCAGGACTCTGGGGAAGGCCAGTGTGCTGCCCTAACAACTGTCCTGCTCATCTTAAGTCTTCTGGGGACAGCTGGCTGTTCATACCATAGCAATGAGAGCAGCTGTCCCCACAGAGGGACCTGGGGCTCTGGGGTGTGTGCTGTGACATCACTGGGAGACCTCTGGGGCCCTGCTTGTCCCTGCCTACAGCACCTATTGCTTCTTTCTGCCTGAGTGAGTGCTGCTGCTGGGGCATTACCTGCTGCAATGACAACATCTGCCTGGAAGGCAGAGAGCTGAGCGGCTGTCACCTCGTCCCAGTCCAGATCGGCCACTGTCACCTTTGGGCTGCTTGGGTCAGTGGGAGTGTACAGCTCTAAGGAGAAGCCGTTGAGGAGCACATTTCCACGGAGCTGCTCAAGCACTTGGCCGTGACAGTCGCTGAAGATGAATGCTCTGGGGTAGCACGCCTTGCAAATAGCCAGGCCTGTGAGGCCAGCTCCACTGCCTAGCTCCAGGACAGTCCTGAGTGGGAGATGGAGACCTTTGTTCACAACTGCACCAACCTGCCTTAGTGCCCTGCCCTGTGCCCCAAGATCACCTGTCAGTGAAGGCTGCTGGGTTCTTGATGGCCCACTCTGCCAGGTAGAGAGCCGCATCCCAGGTAACCAAGCCTGTGGTGCCATGGGACACGATGGCTGTGCTCTCAGAGAGTGTGACTGAGTCTCCTGAAGGCTGCAGAGACAGGAAGAAGAATGAACAAAGCTATCAGAGTATTACTGGTGGGTCCTAAACCACAGCAACTGAGTGGCTGAGCAGAATGTGCTATGTCTACGCTGGAATGTACTCAATGAAAAGGAATAAACTTGCTACACCCAGAAATACATATGGGTGATCTCAAGGATACTGTGCTGAGCGAAAGGAGCCAGTCTAAGTCCCATGCTGTGTGTAATCCCCCTTCATCTAACACTTTAAAATGACCAATCACAGAAGAGTGTGTGTGGTGGGTGGGGGTGGGCACAACACAATAACAGGCATGTCTCATACCAGCAAATAGCTCCGGTGGCACTGGGAGGACTCTTTGGCCATCAGGACCTCTGCCAGCGCCTCATACAGTGCATCCAAAGGCTCTGTGGGCACAGCTTCATGCTGGGAACAGACAGCAAACTTTAACTGAGAGGGCTACACTGACCCTTGTAAATAACCACTCCCTCACTTCTATCTGCTCTGTGAAGAGGACTGGATGGCTTTCACAGCATTCATGGTGCTGGGCATGGAACCCGGGACCTTGTGCATGCTGGGTTGGTATTCTGCTGCTGAGCCTTGGTTCCAGCCTGACTTTTACCAGATTTAGAGGGGAAATTTTGGAGTAGGAGGTAAGCTAGCATATGAACAACTTAGAATTAAAATTAGCAAAATTAAAAGTGCGCTGGTGGGGTGCCTCAAGGAGAGTTGTGGAGCAGGTTAGAGTAGGCAAGGCCTAGGTCAGCAGGCAGAGTCCAGGAGAAAGCCACATTGCCTAGCAGAGGTGCTACTGTCCTTATATGATGTGTTCAGGTGAGTCCCAGGCTCCCAATGTAGCTTTCAAGCTGCCTTTTGGTGGCATTGAGGCATGGCTTCAACTGGCCTCATAGCCCTGTTTCTCCTGGTGCTGCCAGGGCCTACAGAGGCACTGGTGTGGTAAGGCCTGGGACCAGGGTGGTGCAGAAGATCGATCACACCTTTGCTAAGCCTCTTGTGCAGCTGCTGGCTTCAGGGGCTGACTGAAGCTGGCATGCTGCTGCTGCTCTCCACAGCAGTCTAGAGTGGCATGGAGCAGGTCTGGACCTGTCCTCCAAAAGCATCTTGCAGAGGATGGGAAGACACTGTGTAAACGCCAGCAGGCGTGCGTGGGCCAGCCAGAAAATGGCTGGTAGTGTGGGGGGAAGGGGAGCCATCCTTCATGCAGTGGCAGGGATGTCTGGTAGGAAGGAGAACCTGAGTCCAGGAGATGAAGCTGCTGCTAAGAGCCCTGGCCCCTTCCTACCCTGCCCCAACTTTGCCCTCCCATCAAACCCCACCAGCAGCCTCCTGCCACAGGGGCTTACAGAGCAAGCAAAGGGCAGAGAGGTGGGGCTGCTGGAACCTGGCAGAGCTGTGGACCTCTGTGTTCCCCTATGTGGCCCGGCCCTGGCAGCCACTGCCCATCATTGACCTTTTTGATGAGCTTTGAGAGAAAGCAGCGGGCGTACTTCACAGACGGCAGGTGCTGTACACACACAGGGTGCTTCACAGTCTAGACAACAAAAGACAAGAAGTTGTTTGCTACAGAGACCTACCTGCCTTTGGTGTCCTAGAGAAGCTGCACATGATTGGAGGGAGCCTGATGTTCCAGCAAAGATGTGCAGGGACAATGGGGCTGTCTGCAAGATGGCGGCTTTTCTTCCGGTGGTCTTACCATATAGGCCAGACTGGCCTCAAATTTGCAATCCTCCTGCCTTAGGATTATGGGTATGTGCTGCCACTCCCAATTTGAGTTTTAAGATCTTTCCTTACAACATTTCCACATAGTGGCACAGCTTTAGGCAGGAACCTGAGCTCACAGGCCCTTTCCTGTCCACCCAGGGTGGCAGGTGAGAATGATACTAGTCTGTTGTAAGGACAAAAGCGGGGTATTTGGCTTCATGGAGGAGGTGAAGGCCCAGTGGCAGGAACCAGACCTACTAGATATCTGTCTTCCTTGCTATGAGGCCTAGGTGGTGGGGAGGGTTAGAGATGGGAGCTGAGCAGGCAAATATGGAAACGCAAAGGCTCTGCCTAGACAGGAACTAATGCCTCAGTGAAAGCCTCCGGGAGTCAGAAGCAGGGTCTCCACCAGAGAGAGCAGTGGAGGGTGGCTCCCAGGTGGCTCTGGCCTGGAAGTTTTGAAAGGAGGTCAGAGGATCAGCAGGAAGTAGGAGATGGGAATGGGCCTGGAGGGAGGTGTAGCTTGCTGCATTGGGAGGACCACAGGATCCCCGTAAGTCCCCTAGAGCTTCCTACTGAGGGTTCATCAATGGGTAACCCCGGGATCTTTAAGCAGTATGCTCTAATTTTTGTTGGGTTACTCATGGAAGGCTGTAAGACAAAGCCTGGCTGTTTCCTCCTTCCTTTCCCCCTTTATCTTCCTTTCTGATAACAGGGTCTCTCAGTATAGCTCAGGCTGACTTTGAATTAGCCCTGGTTCAGCACAGAATTCCTGGCTTAGACTCCTAGGGTGGGCTTGGTGGCTGGGGACAAATGTCTGTTTTCCTTGAATTTGTATGCAAATATGTTCCTCTGATGATTTCCTTCTGGGGAGGAAGAGTACAGTTTTTTCCTGCTGAGGGTCAGGTCAAGGCCCAGGACAGGGTGGTGTGATCTGCCCTCGATTCAGGAGGCCTCTACCCACAGGCATATGCCACCTCTGCCTCTGATCCTGAGCAAGCAAGATGAGCTTTCATATTTTTTGCCTTAAATGTGAAGAACATTCCAAAGCAGCTAACACATGCTGGAAGCAGTCACTTGTCACTTATCCCTGTGTTTCAAGACTTCCCAAGGTGGATGGGATGGAGAGATGGCTCAGTGGCTGAGAGCACTGGCTGCTCTTCCAAGAGACACAGGTTTGATTCCCGACAGCCACATGATGGCTCACAACTGTAACTCCAGTCCTAGGGATCTGACACCCTTTTCTGGCCTCCAAGGACATTGTATGCATGTGTTTCACAGACATACACAAAGGCAAACACCCACACACATATTAAAAAAAAAAACAAACCCAAAAGTTAAGCCATTTAGAAAAAAATGGCATAGTAGCACTCCATAGAGATACAGTCTTAAAAAATAAAAAAGACATCCCCTAGCTTCCCATCTTGTGCAGTTGTTTATTCAAATATCTTTATCCACTAAAACCAAACAGCCAGAGCTGACTGAGGACCTGACGCCCACGTGCAGTGTCTACACAAGCGCTTTATCGTGTTCTTTGGACAATGTGTTTGGAAAGGATACAGGTGGGCCTTGGCTCTGCTGTCTGGGGGATGCTGGGGCTCTTACCTTCTGCAGAATAGCCAGCAGCAGCTCAGAACCCGAGGGCTCCCTTAATTTCTCTTCTAGGCTCTGTTCCAAGGAGAAAGAGAAGGGTAAATTCTAGGGGGCATTTTCTTAGCAATCTTACACTGCTGTGGGACATTCTGGTAAAGAGCATCTCTGCCCAGGGACTTGGAACCAATCTGAAGTGGAAGCTACTAGAGGTGAACTCTCAGTCTGATGTCACGGGCCATGTGTGTCTGATTTCTATCAGCTGTGGCTGTCCTGCAGTCACCCGGGACACAGTAACTTTGAGCTGAGCTGGTGAGCTAACCATCAGTTACAGCCTGGAACCTGTCACTTAAACCAGATGGAGGACTATGAGGTGTGGTGCCAAGCCTGGCCATGCTGTCTTCTCACAGGGATTCCAGCTCCAGTCAGAGCAGGTATGTGACACGCAGCAAGGCCACTTCGTGTCTTCAGAGCATTTTACCATGTCCTAACAGGTCCTCTAAGACCTGTCTCGATCCTTTTTTCACCTCATCTACACCCAGTCTCATCCCAGCTCACACCACTACAGCCACACCAGCTCCTCTACTGTTCTTAGTCACGGTGGCCATGTTTCTATCATAAGACCTTTGCTTCCTGTTCGCCAAGACCGTCCGACGGCCGACTGCTTCAAGGCTCGGGTAACAGTTCAAATGCTGCCTCTTTTGGGGGGCCTTTGATGACTCTATTCACCATTTCCTTGCTTGTTTTATTCTTTTGAGACAGTGGCCTCTGACTCACAGAGGTCCTCCTGCTCTAGCTCCCCAAGCTGAGGTTGGCTCCCACACATGGTCTTGCCTGGTCTTTTCTGGTTACTTACAGTCTCTCGTCTGAGCAGGGCTGGTCTCTAATGTGCTCTGATGTACTCTGGTGTGCAGCTCATGGACAGTCAGTAAATATTTAGTGACTCAGTAACCGCTAGGCACCACTCAGTGCACTTCCACAGCCAGGTACGAGGAGTTGGGGTTTGTATTCAAGTACTCCCACAGAGTGAGGTGTAGGAGGGGCTGTCTGCCTCGGAGTCACAGTGCTAAGGCTGTTAAATCCTCAATTACTGTTCATGATGAGGTCTTTAGGCTCTTGGTGTAAGCATTCTTATGTTCATTTTCCTATAAATAAGGAAAGGCTTAGGGGATGGGGGAAGCATGACTCCCTAATTTGGAGCTGTTGGACTCTCCCTTCCTGCCCTGGCTGCCATAAGCAAAAAGGACTATCAGTCAGACCGCTAGCAGGACTGCCCTTATGTCAGCCTTGGCTGTCTGAACACTCCATAAACACCTTTAGACAACCACAGCTGATTCTCATGGCTCCTGAAGGTGCAGCCTCTTCCAGGGCTGTCTGAAACACTTTGCACCAGACTTTTTACTGTCTTAAGCCTGGGTATACACTTACTCTGCACCCATTTTGGTGTAGGGCATATGGGGAGCACGCCCCCCTGGTGGCCCAGTGGAAGGATGGCTGGGATGGTCCTAAGGGGCAAGGCTGTGACTGGTTCAGACACCTACATAACCTGCTGCTGTGGCTCAAGGAGGGTGTGGACTACAAAGAGCCCTCCTGGGAATGATCTTTTCTTGCCCACTTTAGTAGTGCAGGCTGAGCTGGTGACATGGAGAAAGCAGACCCAGAGGCAGCACAACAGCAGTGGCTGTGGCGACTCAACAGTGTTTGGCAGAATTGTAAAAGCAGCCAGGCAGCTGGCCTTGGTCAAGAGCCAAGAAACCCCCACTTCCAAGGACTGCACAAGAGCTGTAAGAGCTGCTGCCAAGGGAAATCCAATACCTAGGCCTGCCGGGAAGCTTGCAGACAAAATGCCCCAAGAACTCCGGAGGTCCATAAGGACCAAGGGCGCCCCATAAGCAAGAAACCTGCGATTGCTGCTCTTGCCTGCCTACAGCTAGCACAAGAAAACACAGCCACCAGAGACCAGCAAGCCCTGAGCTGCTTGTCTACCTATGATTTCTAGCTGGGCAAAGGAAAAGAAGCCCAGCTGTTTGGTAGCAAGAGACATTGTATCCTCCACTGTGCTAATTAGAAATGATGGCACAGAGATGTAGCCACTGCATAAAGTCCCACAACACATAGGGTCCCACAGTATATAAGTTCCACAGCACATGGGGGTTTGAGCTAGGCTTCTTCTTTTTGTAGACCAGGCTGGCCTCAAACTCTTGAGATCTGCCTGCCTCTGCCTCCAGAGTGCTGGGATTATAGGCATGTGCCACCTCCCGGCTTTGAGCTAGGATTCTAAACAGGAAGCTGGTCTCCTAGGCCAGAGTTATGGCTCTGATCCTTTCCTTCTTAAACGGAGTGACAACAGACCCCACTATCCACGACCCTGAGCAAGTGCTTGGCACAGCACGTGAACTATTACATTTGACATTGAATGGGGACCCATAAGCTATTAGAGTTTCATTCTGTGTTAAGACCAGGAATGTTTTATGTTGATGAAATAACACAACTGTCTAAACCACCCAAAGAAACCGGGCAGACTCTGGAGAAATAAAAATTTAAAGAGACTCATGCTGGTGAACTCCTTGCACACGAGTTATCAGCGAGGCACGCTCCAAAGGAGCCTCGTGCCGGAGTTGCAAGTCCCCAGACCGCCGGAAGGTTCCCTTTCGGTCTGAACTCCCTCGGAGATGGTTCTGCCCGCAGCCTGCCCTTCGGATGGGGACCTGACCTCCCCTTGAGGAGAGCGCGGCTCCTGCCGTCTGAAGACATTTAGTTTTCAAAGCTGTTTTGCAGTCGCCAAGATGACCGATCAACGGCTTAAAAAGTCGCTAAAAGCCCGGCCCGTAACCCTCAAGTTCTGCTAGAGAAGGGCCCAGCCTGCCTGCCCCGGTCCGGCAGTGAGCAAAGGAGGCCCTGACGCCCGGCCCCGCAGCTCCCGGTGCTCGACCCCGACACCCGCCGCGCGCCCGCCGCCCACCTGCCAGGGAAAGGAGGGAAGCGCGCGAGCCGCCAGGAAGCGGCGCTCGAAACTCTGCAGCAGAGACGTGGCCCCCTCGTGGTCCTCAGGCGCCATCGCGGGGCGGGGCCAGTGTTGCCTGGAAACGAGCGGAAGCGAGACCTGAGTCTGAGGAGGCGGGGCAAAGAGGCAGCTAGCTGTGGGCGGGGCTAGTCAATGCTCCAGTCCAGGAGGTGGGACAAGGTGGTGCCCTGGGGGCGGAGAGTACGTTGGGGCAGGGGCGGAGGCGGGGTGTAAACTGCAGGGTCCGTGAGCTGCTGCGTCATGAGAGGCGGGACTTAGGGAGAGGCTAATGCCCAGCGACCGGGAAGCGTTCTAAAAAAGTTCGTGGTGCTGGAGCTGGCTATCTGAAGGCGGGGCCTACACTGGCCTGGGGCGGGGCTCAGAAGGCGGTCCTTGACCAGAACTGGGGGCGGAGTCTGGAGGTTGGAAGGCGGGCCCGAGGTGGAAATGGGGCGGGGGGGGGGGGGAACGGAGCTTAGGGGGCGGTCCTTTGGCTGATATGGGGGCGGGCTCAGACTAGCCAGAGGCGGGGCTGAAGAGCTCGCCTACTTGCGGAGGCGGACCTCGGATCCTTCAGCTGAGCTCCTGGCCAGCCTGTAGGCAGGGTTGTGGCTTAGTGTGGGGCGGAGTCGGGTAGGCTAGGGCGCGGTCTTGCATGCTGCACTAGGAGCGGATCTCACTCCCGGTTTTGATCCTGGAAGCGGGGCGGGGTTCGCGCCCACCCAGGCCAGCTCCAGGTCATCGTAATCTCCCGAATCTTGCACACTGGTCTTGGTCCACCGGCGTGTTCAGTCAGTGCGGGCGGCCTTACCAACACCCTCCCCATCAGCACAGCCCTCTGGGACTCGCCAGAAAGGGGTCTACTCCCTCAGTCTACTCTAGCCTTTGTGTCTGCAACCCGGCATCATCTAATTATTACTAAGCACCTCCAGTATGATTGGCAAGACCAGGGGCTGCAACAGTGGGATAAAGCCGATGTGATCTCTGCTCTCCAGGGTCTGGGGTCCTCAAGAGGGAACATAAAATAGTAGCAATATCTGCGTTGAAGATAAATGCACAGAATCGCAGGGACATACAGCAGGAGTTTCGTTTGATCTTGCAAGGAAAAGAATCCCAACGAAGAGTGGGAGTTAACTGCAGCGGGTGGCCAAGTTTTCAAAGTTAACATGTCTTGCTAGAGTTGAAAGGCAGTATGCTGGCAAGTCACCCCTCCTGCCCCCGGATTCTGCACTGTTGTTCAAGGCAGAACAGTTCACTTTACCAAATGTCTTAAAAAATTCCATTTGGAAGCTTCCTGAGCTATGTTAAATATGCTTGCAGAAGGTAGGTGAGAAACCCCTGAGGCCTGTTTAGGAGAACAACAGAGGGGAATTGATTGCAGTCAGGTCTGTGGCCCTCCAAGGAGCCAGCCCAGCACAGCTGATAAAGAAGGGCTTGGTCTTTTATTCCCCGAGCTGGGTTGACTTAAATATAGTGAGCTGTGGTTGTTTCTGTGGGATTTTGTCTTTTCATTTTTTTGTATTTATTATTTGTGTGTGTGTGTGTGTGTGTGTGTGTGTGTGTGTGTGTGTGTGTGTGACTCACCATACATCAGTGGAAGCCAGAGGACAGCTTGCAGGAGTTGGTTCTTTCCTTCCACTATGTGGGCTGAACTCAAGTCATTAGGCAAGTTCCTCTACCGTACACTGAGTTATCTAACTAGCCTTATTTGTTTGTTTTACAGTCTTGCTATGTAGACCTGGTTAGGTATTCTCTTTGTAGCCCATCTTGGCCTCGAACTTGAAGTGATACTTCTGCCTCAGACTCCAAAGTGCCCAGGACTATAGGCATATGCCACCATGCTGGACTATTATTGTGTTTTTTTACATTGCACACTCCTGGCTGCAGTCACCTTAGATTCTGAGGCCTCACAAGTAGGATGGATCTGGGTGATTGAGGAAGGCTGACTTTAGAGGTGGCCTCAGGGACACTGGTTTATCTGTGCCATTTTGATCAGCTCTCTGCCTGCAGTTGGTGATGCAAAAAATGGGAACCAGATATATACTTGTACATCACCCATATTAGCTATTAATCACTGTTGCTACAGAACAAAAGAGCAACAGTTGGCATTATAATAATACTGCATGATATATTCCTAAAATATTAGTTAACCCAGGCTGGTCTAGTCTCTCCTGATACTACAGACAGGAGTAGTCTGAGAGAAGACCCTCCATGGGCTACAGAGCCATCTTGGAGTGTGACAAAAACCTGGCGTCTTAATTAGATCTGAAGGTAGGAGGGACAAGTCACTGAAGGACCTTGTGTGTGGGTACACATGCATCTCCACTGTTGTTCCTGTTCATCTTGGTTTTTTGAGGCAGGGCCTCTCATTGGCCTGGAGCCCACTGCTAGTCTGGCTGGCCAGTGAGCCCCAGAGATGTACCTGTACCCCAAAACTTAACACTAGTGTTACAAGTGTGAATGAGTTTGGGGGATCAAATTCTAATCCTCATGCTTGTAAGGCAAGCCCTTTACCAACTGAACTATTATCCAACTCACTGAAGGACTTGTAAGGACCAGGGAACCTCACAGGGGTGATGTGTTTAGGTGTAAGGGAAGGCTAAGACCCCCTCTGTCATGCAGAGTGCTGATTCCAGATGTGGATGTCTGGAGCAAGGCCTGGGTACACATCTGAGTGCTCCTGCCCCTCTACTGTTAAGAGGCAGTAGGTGCACGAGCTATATTAAAGGCTCCCTATTATCTAATAATAGCCTAATGCATTTTAGCTGTACGAAGCCATTGCCTTTTAGAAATTATGCTTTGGGTTTGGAGTTCAATCAGCATGAGGAAGTTTTTCCTTTATCTCTCCTCCGGCTAATGGCTTCTGTAAGAAAAAGGACCAATTGATTTCTCTCTAGAATGTTGCTTCAGGGTGCAGCGACCTTTTATAGGTCATGTTTCAACTTACAGAAAAATTTTATAGTTCAAATATAAATTGTGCCAAATGCAGACTCTATAATGGGATTTAAGGTTAAATAAAGTTTCAGCCTTCCTTAGGCTGTTTCCAGCATCCAAGAAGCCCCGCAGCTTTGGAGACAGGTGCTGCATTAAAGTCTCGACAGGGTCGGGTGTAATACATATAGGAAGCTTGGTGTATGGTCTCAGTCCCGGAACACACAAAGAGAAACACCAGGATTATACGACGGTTTTGTTGTTTTTATTCTGTTCGTTTTTGAGATACAGTCTCATGCAGCCCAGGCTGGCTTCCAACTTACTAGGTAGCTGAGGATGGCCTTGAGCTCCTGATCTTTCTGTCTCCACCTCCCGAGTACCAGGATTACAAGCATAAGATTAAAAATCATACCCATTTTAAACAGTGCAGGACCCTGAACCCGAGGCTTCAGGCATGGTAGATAAGCACTCTACCAGCTGAGTTACAGTGTCAACTCCAATGCTATAATATTTGGGTTTGCCATGGGACCAGTATTAAGGGTTGAATTGTATCCTTTGCAAAGGTAGGCTGGAATTCCTAAGCCCTGGTTCCTAGGGGTGTGAATATTTTTTGGAAGTAGAGTGGCTGCAGAGATAATCAACTTAAGAGGAAAACATACTAGAGAATATCCTGGGCACCAGTGACTCTCCTTGTAGGAGAGGGGGAGGCCACATAAAATCAAAGGCACAGAAGACAGTGGCCACTTTGCTTTAGAGCTCAGAGTGATGCGGCTGCAAGCCGAGCACCACTGAGGACTGCTTGTAGCATCAAAGGCTAGAAGCAAAGATGGAGGGAGCCTAGCATTTTGTTTTGGACTTCCAACCTCCAGGTTTGTAAGACACGAGGCATCTCTTGCTTTAAGGCCACGGTGTGGTACTTGGCTACTGAAGCCCTAGAAATGAAATAACTGGCCATATTACTTTGGGGACTCCTTTGAAAAAAAAAAAGAGAGAACTAGGGAATTTGATAAAAAAAAATCAAGAATTTCAAAATGATGCTGGACATGGTAGTATACACCTGTCATTCCAGAACTCAGGAAGCCGAGGCAGAAGGATCTAAAGTTCAAGGCCAGCCTGGGCTGCATAGCAAGAGTCCAACTCAAAAACAATAGCAGTTAGCGATGGTGCTCACTCAGGAGAGTGGTGGCACACCTGCAGTCCCAGCACTGCGGGTGGAGGCAGGGGTCAGGAGTTCAAGGACACTTTTGACTGCATTGGGAGTTTGAAGCCAGCCTTGGCTGTGTGAGACCCTGTCTCAAAATAAGATAAAGTGAGCACTTCCTGTGAGACCAGGTAGCTGGACCTAGATCCTAGGGTCTTACGTGACTGGACCCCCAGTGGAGTGTAGGATATCATTGCAATGGCTTATAACAGCATGATGACTGACCACCCCAAACCCAAAGAGCACTCATTTCTTTTTCCAATGAGAGGCTACATGTGTTATACTAACAACAAACAGGACCCTGAGACCTTTTGTCACAACACTAAGCCTGATGGCTGTGTTTCAGGAAGCCCCAAAACACCGTGTATCTTTGATCCTGTTTTTTTTTTTTAATTTTATTTTTATGAGAGCATTTTTAATAGTCTGATTATTAGAAGTCTGTCCTGGTTGCTCCTGGGTCCCTGGGAAGTTTCCCATCTATGCTCCAGTGAATATTAATTATGGAAATCAAATGGACATTTAGCACAAGAAAATGCTCGCTGTAGCAAACTTTCAGAGGGCAAGTCATTGAAAGCCGATTCACTAAATGACCTCTTGGCTAAATGACGAATTTGCCTAATGACCATTCTGCATAAGGACTCATTTGCTAAAAGCCAATTTTCTGAAAAATCAGCTTGTGGGATGTTCTGCTTCTCAGAGATTGAGTCATATTCCTACACTCAAAGTCAGTGGGGTGGCCCACACCTGTAATACCAGCACTCTGGGCTAAGGAGGATTGGAAGTTCAAGGCTAGCTTAGGCTACAAACCCAAATCCCGGCTCAAAACAAAAAAAGCACCTTACGTGGTAAATAGCTGCATTTTACTGAGTGTATCTTTGCCAACATGGAACACTTTTCTCACCCTTGTTAAATTCTGGCATGGTGACAAGCCCAGAGGAAGTAGGTTGTCCAAGTAGTGACTGTATATGGCTCCTGTTCACAGCAAGGGCCCTTCACACCATGGGTGGGGGGAGGGATACATCTGTTACATGGTACTTCTGACATCTTCTAGATTTTCTTGTTGCTGAGAATTACCAGTTGGTACCAGAAAAATGCAAACCACTTTGTTTTCATCTCACAGTCAGCATCAAGTTTTAGCATTTTCCTTTGGGAGTTTGTTTATCATTTTATTTATAAAATTAAAACTATTGTGTTATTTATTTGTGTATGTGTGTACACAACACATGTATTGAATTGCTTTTCTCCTTCCATTATATGAGGAGCCTAAGATTTAACTCAAGTTGTCAGGCTTGGTGGCAAGCACCTTACTATTGAGCTGTCTTTCTAGGCTTATAATTTATTTTTATAATCTCTCTCTCTCTCTCTCTCTCTCTCTCTCTCTCTCTCTCTCTCTCTCTCTCTCTCTTTCTCTCTGTAGGTCAGAGAACAATCCCTATATATATGGGATTTATCGAAATGACTTACAGGCTTCAGTCCGGCTAATCCAACAATGGCTGGCTGTGAAACAAAAGCCCAGGATTACAATAGCTGCTCAGTCCACAAGGCTCGGTGTCTCAGCTGGTCTTCAGTGTGTGCTGGAATCCTAAGAAGTAGGCTCCAATGCCAGTGAAGGAATGGATGTGCTAGCAAGGTGAGGGCAAGCAGGCAACAAGCAAAACCTTCCTTCTTCTATGTTCTTATACAGACTTCCAGTAGAAGGTGTGGCCCGGGTTAAAGTTGTATCTTCCCACTCAAGATCCAAATCAAAGGCATGTGTCTTCCTACCTAAAGGGTCTGGACTAAAAGTGGATTCACTCACTTCAAACCAAGCAAAAAGTCTTTCACAGGTATGCCCTCCATTTCTGGATTGTAGTTCATTCCATGTGTAGCCAAGTTGATAACCAAGAATAGCCATCACAGAGTATGTTTGGTGTGGGTATGTACATGCAGGTTCCCAAATAAGCCATGGGCATCTGGAGTTACAGGCTGTTGTGAGCTGCTTGATGTGGGTACTGGGGATTAGCCGCAGATATGTAGCTATGGCAGTATATGCTCTAACTGATAAGCTATCTCTCCAGCCTCCTATTTTACTTCATTTTTTTGGAGACAGGGTTTCTCTGTGTAGCCTGGGCTGCTCTGGAATTCATTCTGTAGACCAGGCTGGCCTCAAACTCACAGAAATCTACCTGTCTCTGCCTCCTGAGTGCTGGAATTAAGGGTGTGTGCCACTACTGCCCAGTGCTTAAACTCCTATTTTAAAAATTACTTTTAATAATGTGTTTTTGCTTTTGTGTCTGAATGGGGCTATGAACACATGAGTGCAGTTGCCTGCAGAGGCCAGAAGAGGGCATAAGCTCCCTTGGAGCTAGAGTTAACAGGCAGTTGTGAGCCACCCAGTGTGGGTGCTTGGAGCCAAACTAGGGTCCTCTATAGTGATAAATCCATGGGAGTCTGCTTAAAGTTTTTCTTTATTGGGAAAGAAAAACTCACTAAAACAAAACAGGGGAATTGTCACAGGGTCCTGGAATGCTGAGGTACTGTAGCACGCTGTCCTGAGTCAGTCCACCATTCAAGCCCACAAGGGAGAGAAGAGACCAGCATACACATATCTCAGGTCTTAAGGGTAGCCCTGAGGTCACACCCCAGGGGCATACTTCAAGGTCATAGGTAGGTAGGACAGTTACCTGCTACATCTCTAGGGGCGGTGCTTCAAGGTCATAGAACAGCTATCCACTACAGTCCTCTGCAAGAGCAGTATATATTCTTAACTGCTGAGCTATGTTTCCTGTGGGAGCCCACAGAGGCTGCCTATTAAGGCCTTACTCAGGGTCAGAGAATCTGAGCTTGCTTTACCCAGCAGGGCTGTGTAACGAGATGATTTGGCCACGGGTGTGTTTACCAGGTTTTTGGAAGGGTCTATACTTGGCTGAATGGTGTGCTTTGATCTTGCAAAGGGGAGGTCTTTTGCCTCTCCCCTTGGCATATTATAAAAAGCCCTTTTGAATAAAGCTCTGGGCTGTTGGGTATTGACCCAGACCCTCCTAAAGCTATCCTGTGTCTATCTTTCTTCTTGTCATCTAAGTCTATCTTTCTAGCTGATATTTCCTCATTCCTCTCTCCTCCACTTAAGAACCTTTCGGAGCTGGACTCTCACAGACTGCCACAGTTTCCAGACCCTTTCTTCAAATTATTTAAAAAACAATTTCATTAACGTGTGTGTGTGTGTGTGTGTGTGTGTGTGTGTGTGTGTGTGTGTGTATTACTGTTAAAATTTGCAGGACTAAGTTCCCTCCTTCTACCATGTGGGCATGTGTGGAGGCCAGAAGTGGAGCTCAGGTGTCTTCCTCAATCACTTCTCCACTTAATTTTAGAGACAGTGTTTCTCATTGGACCTAGAGTTTGCTATTCGACTTGGCTTGCCAGCTGGTCAGTGAGGCCTCAGGATCTGCTCATACCTCACCCGCTGAGGAATGGAATTACAGGAGTGAACCACCATGCCTGACTTCTTACATGAATGTTAGGGATTCTAACTCAGATCCTCGTGTTTGCACAGCTAGTGCTTTACCCAACGAGCCACCTCCCAAGTCTTTCCTATTACTTTGATTGCTTTGTTACCTTTAAATTATGGCTGATGGTTTTATTTGGGCTCCCTAGCTTCTTTTTACCTCCAATGTCATAATCTTGAAGAACACCTTTGTGCTTGATAGGACACCCTGGTTAGGACACTGTGCTGGTCACCGTCACGTGAGGCTACAGTTACAACAACTCCCAGATAGTCTCCGTGGTCCAGGGAAGCCAGAATGATGTGCCCAGAGTCAGTTACTAATCCCTGGGGACTGAGAATAATCTAATCTTGTTCACTCAGCTGCAGGCCCAACTTGCTAACAAGCTAGATGGATGTCACTGTCAGGCAGTGACAGGAAGTCATAACCTTGAGCATAGGCCGTGCCTGTCCTTGGTCACCCTGATGTCCCTTTCAGATGCCCACAGGTGTCCTGAGGGGACTTCAGAAGAGGAAATACCCAACCAAGGAGGCCATGCTTTCCACGGTGAAGTCAGTGCTCTGGGGCAATGTTGCCTCAGCATCTGTCAACCTCACTCTGCAGAAGGGATGTCAGCTACTTGTTTGCTCATCACTGTCCATCAAGATGTGGAAAGGACTGGCTGGTACTTGATTAATTCAACCCCCAAAGCAAGGGCACTCCACCAGCCTGCACTTGGAAGGGTGCCAAGAGCCCCAGGGATGGTGGTGAAGGAGTGGGTAATGCTGAGGAGAATGAATGCTTTGTCCCTCTAACTGAAACGGGCTGCTTGTAAGAGGAGCTCAAATCCACAGCCTGCTAGCAACTGGAAAGAACCAGGAGTCAGAGAGTTGTGACAGACCCTTAACAAGACAGGAACAAGGACCAAGGGTGGACTTTGTGGAGCTGCAGTTAGAGGCAGTGAGTTTCCTGACATGGGCGTTGGGAAGGAAACCCATGATCTCTGCAAGAGTAGCAAGTGCTCTTAATTGCTGAGCCAGCTCTCCAGCCCCACTTCTTTTTTTAAATAAAATTTTAAGGTCAGCATATGAAGTATTGGGTTTAATCATGGCCTTTTCTCACACAGGTGTCAGTACACTTTGTGGTCATTCATCCCCCTCTCCCAGTGCATCTGCTTTTTTTTCCTCATTCATTCCACAAACATTTGAGTACACATGATAGATATAGCCATACATAGCTTGGTGTGCAAATAAAATGGGGTACAAACATAGTCATTTTCTTCTTAGAGTTTATGTTCCATTGTGAGAGAGTGTTTAAGAGGCTACTTGAGATAGAGGGAGAGATAGATAGATAGATAGATAGATAGATAGATAGATAGATAGATAGATAGGCAGGTAGGTAGATAGATAGATAGATAGGCAGGCAGGCAGATAGATAGATAGATAGATAGATAGATAGATAGATAGATAGGTAGATAGACAGACAGACAAACAGAGACACAGAGAGAGAACATGAAGTTGTGAGGGTAAGGTGGTAGAGAGTATCTAGGAGGAGTTGGAGGAGGGAAAGCATGATCAAAATAGATTGTATAAAATTTTTTTTAATTAAAAATTTAAAAAGGGCTATTTCAAAATATGGGGTTTAGGGGCTGGAGAGAGGTCTCAGTGATCAAAAGCCCTCACTGTTTTTGCAGAGGACCTGAGTTTGGCTCTCAGTACCCACATTAGTCAGCTCACACCTGTCTATATAAGCCAAGCTTCAGGGATCTGACACCATCTTCGGGCCTCCATGGGCACCTACACACACACACACACACACACACACACACACACACACACACACACACACACACACGCATAAAGATAAATCTTCAAAGCATGGGGGTGACACTTTGGAAAGCCTGAATGCTTGTCCACTCCCACAGGCCTGCAGCTTTGGTTTCTTGTCTGTAAATGCATTTCTTAGCATTCCTGGACAAATTGGGTCCATCTGTAGAATCCACCTCAAGGCACTAAACTTGCGTGGCCAGCACTTACTCAGCAGATACCACCAGCCTCATTAACCTCTGTTCTTTCTCAGGAGATTGTGCAGGGAGGGGCCTGTGGTAGTGCTCGAGCTTATGTAGTATCCTTTGGTGATTTCTTGAGTCCATTAGATTAAGCAGAGTTACATGTTTTGCTGAGCAAACAGAGGACTTTCCAAGCCCTAGTTTCTGGCATGGCTGACAGGTGTGTGTACGTGTGGCAGCCAGGATGGGCAGGTATCTCTGTGGTGTGCTGAGGAAGAGTCCTTTGAATAAACACTCAGGAGGGGTACATCTGGATCACGTGTTAGTTCTATTTTTAGTTTCTCCAGGAGCATTCATACTGATTTCCACAATGGCTGCACTAGTTTTCCTTGCCACCAGCTCTACATAAAGGCTACATCCATACCGGCATTTTTCTGTTTCTGTGAAACAGCCGTGATGACTGGGGCGAGCCAGAACTTCAGAGCTGTTTTGGTTTCTGTTTCCCTCATATCTCAGCCTCTGCTTTGTGTGGTGCTGTCTGCGAGTTAAGTCGTGGTGAAGTGTGCCATGGGTTGGGGTTGGTAGGCTCCTGTCCCATCTTGTCCACTCCTCTGCTCCTCACTGGGAGGGGCATTCATGGTGCCTTGTTGCATACTTATGACACAGGATAGAAGGGGAGGACCCAGCCTCAGGAGTGACTGGATTATTGTTGAGCCAGAATGCACTCCGCAGGTGGGCAACTGGGACGGGGCCAGCCTTCATAGACAGTCGCCTGAGCTCAGTGTGGCGGAGTACACTCCACCCCGACAGAACTCCTTAGATGGCTTCTGCCCCATGCCATCACCCTGGCCTTGGGTCCCAGTGCAGTGTCTTTCCTGAGCTGCTCTGGTAGGAGGCTGTCAGGGTGTCTGTGCACAAGGATTTCAAGCCCATGCCTTCAACGTATAATTTGGACTTAATTTTTTGGAAATTTATTTTTTATTTTATGTATGGGTGTTTTGCCTGCATGAATGTCTATGTAGCATGTGTGTGAAGAGCTGGTAGAGGCCAGAAGAGGGCATCCCTTGGAACTGGAGTTACAGAGAGTCGTGATCCACCCTGTGAGTGCTGGGACTTGAATCCAAGTCCTCTGGAAGAGCAGTCAGTGCTCTTGACCACTGAGCCATCTTTCTAGCTCCCAAATTTATTTTTACTATTTATTTATTTAGACAAGGTCTCCCTTTGTAGCTCTGGTTCATATGTAGTCCAGGCTAGCCGTGAGCTCACAGAGATCCACCACCCTCTGCCTCCTAAGGGCTGGGATTAAAAGTATATGTTACTCATGCCAACCCAGCAATTTTTACTTTTAGATTTACATTTAACTGGTGTGTGTGTGTGTGTGTGTGTGTGTGTGTGTGTGTGTGTGTGTGTGTGTATGCATGTGCACTTGCATGTGGCATGTGACACGGTACACAATTTGGAGGAGTTGGTTCTCTCTTTCCACTGTGTGGGTCCTGGGGATTTGAATTCAGGTAGGTCATCAGAGTCAGTGAGAAACACCTTTCCCTGCTGAGCCATCAGCTTGCTGGTCCTAATGGTGAGATTTTGCATTTGTGCACACAGGTTAGCCTCACAAGAATAGAATTTCTGTTTTAGGAAAATGAATACTAAATGACTATGGAATGGTGCCAACTCCCGAGGCTTCCCTCAGGCCCAGGTCTCTCATTTGTTTTTGAGAATGTGGGGAGTTCTCAGGTTCCACAGGGAAGAAGAACTGAAGACAAACACACACTAACAATTTTAATTAATTAATTTGAGGCTGGGTCTCACCACGTAGCCTTGGTTGGCACCATCACACTGGGCCCCAACAGGAGCTGAGTGCACAGCAGCCTGTGGACGTGCAGAGGCTGACATGGGAGGAGCTTTTCGAAAGGAATGCAGAACTGGCACTGGGGAGGTGGAGGCGGGAGGATCAAGAGTTCAAGTTCAGCCTGGGCTACCAGGCTAGCCCATCTCAAAAACAAAACAGCATTCCCTCCACAAAACCAAACCGGAGCATCAAGAAGCCAGCTCTTCGTAGTGAGAACTTCAAGTAAATGTGAAGACAGAATAAATGCAGTGACTCCCCTTACCCAGCTTCAGCAATGAGCAGCTTGTCCAGCTTCCCTCATGTCCACCCCCCTCCTTGTGTCTGCTTGCTCCCTCACCGTGATATCATTTAACATGTGAATATCCCAGAACACTCTCCTCTCCGACCCTCTTCTCTTTTCTTCTCCCCTTTCTTTCCTGCCCTTCTTTCTCTCTTCTCCAAAAATAACACTTCACCCCCATTTCTAGCTCATGTTCTGTTTTCTTTGATTGCCTTTTCTCATTTGTTTTAGTTCTTTGAGAGATTCATACAATGTATTCTTGGATTCACTCCCCACCAACTCCTCAAAGGTTCCCTTTTCCACACACCCAGTGTTGTATCTTATTTAAATATCCATCAGGTCTAACTTGTGCTGCTCATATGCTCTTGAATGCATGACCTCCACTGAAGTATGATCAAGCACCAGGGGCCACGCCCTTAAAGGAAACTGACTCTCTCTCTCTTGCTGCAGCAGCTATCAATTGCCAGTAGCTCCCTATTGAGGAACGGCCACCTCCTCCCCTCATGCTGAGATTTAGTCTGGCTTGAGCTTGTGTAGACTTTGTGTATGCAGTCTTAACTGCTGTCAGTGAAAACACTGTTTTCCTTGTAGTCATCCACTGCCTCATGTAGGTGGAGTTTTCCTGTCCCAGGAGCCACTTTTAAAAAACCGATACAGAGGCTTAATATTACTTATAAATGCTTGGCCAATAGCTCAGGCTTGTTACTAGCTAACTTACGTTTAAATGAACCCTTATTTCTTATCTATACTTTGCCATGTGGCTCATGGCTTGTTACCTATTTTCCATATGTTCTGCTTGCTCAGCAGCTGGTTGGCATCTCTCCTGACTCTGCCCTTCTTCATACCAGCATTCTGTCTGTTTCAAGCTGTCTCACCCAATTTCTTCCTGCCCAGCCATCACCCAATCAGCTTTTTATTAACAATGAGAGCAATACATATTTACAGTGTACAAAAGGCTTATTACAAAGCATCCTCAGGCTCTTACAATCTTTCTAGTCTCTCTTTTGCAATGATCCCTGACCCTTGGGAGGAAGGTGTGTGATGTACACTTAGGGCCAAGCATTCCACAGTCTTTTATTGCCTGCACCATGACCAGTTGTGCATCTCTGTGTTAATCACTGATCCACTGCAAAAAGAAGCTTCTGAGATGAGGGTTGAGAGATACTAATCTTTGGGTATAGTGATAAATCATTAGCTCATTTAGCATGTGCTCATTTAGCAGAGTAAGAGTGGTAGGTTCGCCCCTAGGGACTATGTATGACCTGTCTAGCTACAGAGTTTTGGCCCTGCTATGGGTGCCAATAATGGGTTTCAAAGTGTGGAGTGGGCTTTGAATACAATCAGAAAGTGGTTGGTTACTCCCATGACATTTGTACCACTGTTGTACCAATGGGCATGCCTTGGTAGGTGGGTTGCTGTTGTATGTATCCTCAGAGCTGACCAATAGGTGCTATTATGATTACTTTTCTCCTCTGGCAGTGTGCACAGTACCTCCCAGCACTATGAAAGCTAACTAGTGGGGATGAAGCTTCCAGGTGAGTACCAGATTGATTTCTCTGTTCTGTGACTCAAATATGTGGAGTCTTCAGCAGTAGAGTCTTACCTTCTGGAGGGCAACTAGATTATTATTATTATACATATTATATTATAATATAATATAATGTTTGGGAGGGTCTATGGGACATTACTTGCCAAGAACTTCAAAAGAGGTAACACATTCCTAGTACTGGGTATTTTATCTGTTAGCCTGTAGTACCTTGTAGGGGCTTTGTTGGCCCATTATAGGGTGAGGTGTGTGTGTGTGTGTGTGTGTGTGTGTGTGTGTGTGTGTGTGTGTGTGTGTATGTGATGTTTTAGGAAGTTTCCACAGTAGCAGGTTTCCATATGACTTTTTCAAAATGTCTTAGTGTTAGTTATCCCCCCCCATCTTCCCTCTCCTGCCTCTCTTCCTGTCTCTCCACTCCACCCCATTTAACCCTTCCTGCATCATTATTTCCCTGTAACCCCTTATACCACTGCATTCTATCTCTGCCATGCCCTTGCTAATTTCCTGACCTCTTCTATCTCTTCAACTCCCACTCTGTAAGCTCTCTTTATGATGTTTGTCATTCCAGGCCCCACACATCTGCCAGTGTCAGGAACAACAATCTCATCAGGAACTGGAGGAACATTCTGGAGAAACCACAGTCTACCTGAAGCTTTAGTTCCATCCTCACACCTGCATCCAATCAAGAAGTGCAGTGAGCATCCTTGTTTGTGATTATTTGCACAGAGGTGGTTGGCGAGTGGGCAGGTTAGACTTCTGGATGTGTGATTGTCTTCTTGTGCACTTTGTGTCCAGGGGGATTTTCATGGAGCTTTCTCTAGCGGGGGAAGATCCCTCCTGCTCATCCTCAGGCCAATGGCCGCTTACATTTTCAGGAGAAACAAGGCTGTACCAGGCACTTGTGGGCACGTCCTCTCATCCTTGATCTTTTAGCAGCATGATTCTCTGAGGCTGCAGAATACATTATTCAGGCATCTTTTTCTGTCAATTACCATGGAATCAGCTGGAACAACAAACAAACCAATAAAAAGGAATGGATAATCAGTCTTTAAAAATTCTTTCTAGTCAGTCTGGGCTGGCTGAAGGCATCCACAGACCCACCTGGTGCCACTCAACCAAGGCAGGTGAAAATATGAAGGATAACTGTGAGACCTGCCTGGGTCCTCACAGTCTAGACTGGCTGAAGGCACCACAGGCCTGCTGGTGGCGTTGGGTGGGTAGGTGCCATTATGATGAGCAAATATATGATGGAGAAATGGGGGAGAAAGAGAAGCAGACCAGTTCATGTGTTGTGAAAAGAGGCAGAACTGAAGAAGCTAAGGTGGTGAGGGATGGGCTGATGTGGGTGGACTGCTTGCTTCCTGGAACCAGGGTGATGTCCAGGTTCAAGATGCTGCCAGGGGCCATGTCTGGGTCCATGGATCTACTGCAGCTGGAGTCTGTGTTTACATCCTTGACCCATGTTGACAGCAAAGGCCACGAGGATGCCCGGAGTCTGGTCAGCTACCTGAGTCCATGTTGGTGTCTGAGAGCCATGCTGCCTCTGGGGCCATGCTGATCTGTGGCCTGTGATGCCACCCAGGGTCATGGTGATGTCCAGGCTGGGCTATGGCTTAGGACCATGACTGGGTCTGTGGTCCTGCTGCAGTAGGGTCTGTGTTAACGTCTGTGGCTCCTGTTACCACGAAGGCTATGCAAATACCCAGAGTCTGGACCACCACCTGAGTCCATGTTGTTGTCTGGGGGTCATACTGCAGCTGGAGCCATATAGATCCAAGTGGCCTGCACTGCCACAAAGTGCTATAGTGATGTCCCAGCCCAGGCTGCAGATGAGGGCCATGTCTGGGTCCATGGCCGTACAGCAGCCAGGGTCTGAGTTGATGTCTGTGGCTCCTGTTGCCACTGAGGGCCATGTGGATGCCCAGGGTCTAGTCAGCCACCTGAGACCTTGGTGTCTGAGAGCCATGCTGCTGTCGGGGCCGTCCTGATCTGGGTGGCCTGCACTGCCACCTCAGCCATGGTAATGTCCAGGCCTAAGCTGCTGCCAAGGGCCGTGTCTGGTTCTGTGGTCCTGCTGCAGCTAGGATCTGTGTTGATGTCCATGGCCCGTGTTATCACAGAGGGCCATAGGAACCCTATATGTTGAAATCTGAGGCCTACACTGCGCCAGCCCCACCCTTCACTGGCCCTGGGATAGCTGGCCCTGCCCCTTGCTGGACACTGCAGCAGGAGAGATGGTCCCACCTCTCACGGGAGAGCTGGCCCCCACACTTGGGAGAGGTGGCCCCACCCCTCACCACTGGAGCAGGGATAACTGGCCCCATAGCACGGGCATAGGAGACCTGGAGCTGTCCCTTGACTAAGGGGGGCAGAGGCCCAGACTGACCAGCTCAGCTACCACCCAGGCTCACATCCTGGGCCTTGGGTTGGCCCACCCTAACATCTAACCTATTCTATGACCTGCCAGAGCTCATGAAGTGACTGGTCCTGCAGAACTTGGGACAACAGCAGGATATCCAAGAGGAGTTTCGGGGAGGATTCTGTGATGATGGTGTGCCAGAGTCCAGAGGCCTTGAACCAGACCAGAGACTCAGGCAATCAGGGTGGGGCTGATGGGACAAAAGGGTAGACTGGGTGACACACTTCAGCTCCCAGTGTCACCAGGACGGATGAAGAGGTGTGGGAAAGATGGAGGAGCGAGGTGGTGTTTTGTTTGTTTTTAATTAATTTTTCTTTCTTTGGGAGGAACCCTACAGGGATGAGGGGCAGATATGGAGAGACTGGGTGGTGAGTGGGATTGGGGTGCATAATATGAAATTCCCAAAGAATCAGTAAAGAATTATATTATAATAAATTATTTCTAGTTTCCAAATTTGGTGGGTGGATGCAAGAAGTGCACAGCTGGCTGGCGGTGCTGATGGACGTGACCAGCTGCTCGGCTGCTTCCTCCTCCAGGCTGTGGAAAGAACAGACCCTGGGAGCCCGGGGAAGGCCTTCGAAGAAGAGTGTCACGTGGGAGGCCACAGGGAGGGAGTATTGATGTCTGAAGTGTATTCTACTGCCTTAATAAGTTTGTGTGTGTGTGTGTGTGTGTGTGTGTGTGTGTGTGTGTGTGTGTGTGTGAATCGTTTCTGGCTGCATCTTCCACAAGCTGACAGGCAGGTGGGACTTGGCCACTGACTGTCTTGTGTTTTTCTTCCCTTTGTTTTTACTTTGTTTTGTCTTTTTTTTTTTAAAAAACAAAACTTTGTTTTGTTTTACCAGAGATGAAACCAGGGATAGTAGGCAAGTGTTTTGCCATTGACTGCATATCCAGCCCTGGTTCTTAAAAAATTGAAGTGAGAGATTTACATGGTAGAGCATATTCTTAAATATACAATTTGAGGGCTGGAGAGATGGCTCACTGGTTAAGGGCACTAGTTGCTCTTCCAGAGGTCCTGAGTTCCATTCTCAGCAGTCACATGGTGGCTCACAACCACCCGTAATGAGATCTGGTTCCCTCTTCTGACCTGTGGGCAAACATGCAGACAGAACACTGTATACATAATAAATCTATCTATCTATCTATCTATCTATCTATCTATCTATCTATCTATCTATCTCTATCTATCTACACACACACACATATATGTATATATATATATACATATATATGTATATATATATATACAATTTGATATTTTTCTCTTCTGGGCATGGAACCCAGGGCCCCATGCATGCTAGCAAGTGCTCTCTTTACTGCTGAGCTGCAACTGGAGAGATGGCCCAGTGGTTAAGAGTGCTTACAACTCTTTCAGAGATCTGAATTTGGTTCCCAGTCACCTGTAACTCCAGCTCTATGGGATTTATCACATGATTAAAAATAAACTAGATCTTAAGAACACATACACACACACACACACACACACACACACACACACACACACACACACACACACACACACACCATGCTGTGGAGGTAGTTCACTTGGTAAAATACTTGCCTTGCAACTCAAGGGCCAGAGTTCTATTAACAAAACCCATGTGAAATTGATAGGTGTGACTCTGTTCCCCCAGCATACCAAATATCTTAGGTGTGACTCTCTGTTCCCCCAGCAGACCAAATACCTCAGGTTCATCCCTAGCGCTTCAACAGAACACCAGCTGCCATCTCCCTTCTCTCTTCTCCATGCCCCCTGTGGATCCCACAGTCCTCCCAGAAAATCAGCACCTAAATCTATAATCACCCCAAACCCGGGTGCCTAGATGCCAGAGTAAAAACACAATCAATAATAGCCAAGACAACATGTCTGCACTAGAGCCCAGCTATCCTACCACACCATGTCCTGAATATTCCAACATAGCTGAAGCACAAGACAAAAGACCTTGGGCTAGAGGGATAGCCCAGCCATTAAAGGCTAGGCTCACAACCAAAAAGAAAAGAAAAAGACCTTAAAACCAACTATATGAAGATGATAGAGGTCCTTAAAGAGGAAATGAATTCAATCTCTTAAAGAAATTCACGAAAACACAAACAAAAGCAATGGAATGAAATGAATAAGTCCCTTAAAGAAAGCTAAGAAAAAACTAACAGTTGAAGGAAATGAATAAAACTGTTCAAGAGCTGAAAATGGAAATAGAAGCAACAAAGAAAACACAAATGGAGAGAATTCTGGAAATGAAAAATTTAGGAATTTGAACAAGTTTCACCAACAGAATACAAGAGATAGAAGAGAGATTCTCAGGCATTGAAGATATGATAGAAGAAATGGATACATTGGTCAAAGAAAATGTTAAATTTGCAAAACTCCTGACACAAAACATCCAGGAAATCTGGGACACCATGAAAAGTCCAAACCTAAGAATAATAGGAATAGAGTAAGTAGAAGAATCCCAGCTCAAAGGGGTTTTATTGAAAAATATTTTTAATTTAATGTTTCAAAAATACTTTCAACAAAATCATAGAAGAAAAAATTTTCCTAATCTAAAGAAGGGATTAAAGGTGTGTGCCACCACCGCCTGGTGATAAAGTCAAATTTAAACAATATCTATCTACAAATCCAGCCCTACAGAAGGTATTAGAGGGAAAACTCCAACCTAAGGAGGTTAACTACACCCATGAAAACAAAGGAAATAAATAATCTTACACCAGCAAAGCCAAAAGAAAGGAAATACACACACACCATCACCACCATCACCACCATTACCACCATCACCACCACCACCACCACCACCACCAACAACAAAAACAACAACAACAACAACAACAACAAAATAATAAGCATCAACAATCATTGGTCAGTGATATCCCTCAATATCAATGGTCTCAATTCAATAAAAAGACACAGACTAAAAGAAATGGATAAATTTCTCAATAGATACCACTTACCAAAGTTAAATCAAGAGCAGATAAACAATTTTGGTAGACATATATCCCCTAATGAAATAGAAGTGGTCATTAAAAGTCTCTCAACCCCCCCCCCCCCCCAAAAAAAATAAAGCCTAGGATAGACAGTTTTAGTGCAGAATTCTACCATTCTTTCAAAAAAGAATTAATGCCACTGGGTAGTGGTGGTACACACCTTTATTCCCAGCAGCACTCAGAGATCTCTGTGAGTTCAAGGCCAGCCTGATCTACAGAGTGAGTTCCAGGACAGCCAACCAAACAAACAAAGAGTTAATGCCAATACTCCTCAAATTATTCCACAAAATAGAAACAGAAGGAATATTGCCTAATTCATTTTATGAGGCCACAGTTACCCTGATATCCAAACCAGATAAAGACTCAACAAAGAAAGAGAATTACAAACCAATTTCCCTTATGAATACAGATGCAAAAATACTGAAAAAATACTTGCAAATGGAATCCAAGAACACATCAAAAAGATCATTCACTGTGACCAAGTAGGCTTCATCCCAGAGAAAATCAGCAAATGTAATCCACCATATAAACAAACTGAAAGAAAAAAAAATGATCATCTCATTAGATGCAGAAAAGGCCTTTGACAAAATCCAACACCCCTTCATGATAAAAGTCTTAGAGAGATTAGGGATACAAGGGACAT